AGAATATGTGCTACATTTTATTAAAAATAAACATGAATAGGGTGAGGGAAGAAACCATCCAGTGATCGCACTTCTTTTTGCTTAAATATATGTGCAACTATATATTTTTTTAATTATTATTAACATTTTAATGGAATAGAATGATAATTGAAAATTTCCAAAGTAGAGGAAAATATGTCAATCTTAGTGCAGCATTAAATAAGACTGTTAGGAGAACGATTGCTTATTTTGGGAGGCATCTGGCTACTTCCACAGTGATTAAATCATAGCCCGGGGATTTCTTAAGGCTGTATTTCTGTATAGCATATTTAACATCATTTGGAGTAAACGATTTAGTGGGTAGATAGAGAGAAAAGGGGCTATCTAGGTACTATTTTACTAACTTGGTAATTTGAGGAGTTTGTATCACAGTATGAAAGCTAAAAGTTTCAGCTAAGTATTTTTTAAGTAGTTCAGCTTTATCAGTATCTGAGAAGGCAAGACTGCCATCTGATTTAATTAACGGGGTGTTTGGTGCTGCGTTTTTTAGAGACTTTTTAGTAGCATCCCAGAGACTTTTATTTGGTGACAAATTAGTAAGATAATTTACTTGAATATGATTTTTGTGTTTAGCTAGTAATTATTTTAAAGAGTTAGCCAGACTAATAAAGTTTTGTTTATGTGATGGAAGCAAGAGCGTTGATACAGGGCCCTAGCTCTGCGTTTATTAGCTATCAGGATGCGAATATGTTCTGGAATTGAAAAGGAATTATTTAAAAACTGCGTTTGAGGAGGTGTAGCCTCCCAGGCTGCAGATTGAATTATCCTTGTTAACTTATTTATTGCGTCATCAATTTCTTGAGTTGATTTGAGACTAACCTTCATATCTATATTTTGATCAACTAGATCGTGAAATCTATACCTATCGGTATTCGGCTGGAACAGTTTAGGTGGTGAAGAGCGAATTGGTTAAGAAGCACTGGCTATTAAAAGTACAGCTAAGTGATCCGAGGTAGGTTCAAGGAGGTTTCCAGTCGTGAGGAATATGTTGGATGGTGTATTGGAGACAAAAATATCAGGCTTTTTACGTAGGGAAGTAAGCCAGTATGTTGGTTCTGGTGGAGCTAGAATATTGTAGCCTTTCAGATTTGTATAATTATAAAGTACCAGACCTCTGGGGTTATTTGCACAACAGCTCCAGTTAATATGCTTAGCATTATAATCACCTCCTATTATAAAATTATGACTAAGGGTACTAAAATAATCAACATAGTTTTGTATGTTCTAATTATTTCTTGGAGGGGAATAGATTGCTGCTATTGTAGTTGGTATGTATTGAGATGTAGAGAAGATGAGAAGTATGACACATGATTGTAAATAGGGTTGACAGAAGTTCGGAAGTGGTACAGCAGGGAGGACTTAATATAAATCGCAGCACCTCCATGGGCTGTATTGTCCAGATGGTTTGATTTCAAGAGATTATATCCAGTAATGGGAACGTAGGAGTGTTTAGTAAAATGAGTTTCGGAAATTAGCGCAATGTCTATGCGCTTTTCCTGAAGAACTAGCTGCAATTCATTTACGTGATTTTTAAGACCGTTGGCATTAAATTGGAGAATTAAAATAGAGTTGCTTGTGGAGGAGGGCATTAGTTTTTATCTAAAAGATTTGAGACTACTTTAGTGAGAAGAGTTATTAATGGATTTATTAATCTCCTTGGCAGTTTGAACATAGGTTAATAGTTTTGGGCTTGTATGGCTCTTCCACTTTTATTAACGTGTGAAGTAATGACGTGAGATTGTAGATGTCATTGGACTGATCAGTTGGCTCAAGGTCCACAAAAAATAAGGGTAATGGATGTTTATTTACCTTATGGAGAACACTTGAGACTTGCCTAACTTCAAATAGGCGCATTTCAAGCTCAGATTTACAGACTTACAGTAGTTGAAGTAAAAAATCTTTCTCCTTTCTCAACATCTTCTTGAGAAGGCCATTTATAACCTAATATTTTTCTCCTTTAAGTGATTAAACATTGTTATATTCAAAACCTAAACAATCAGATAAATACGAATCAAGACCTATATTAAAGGGGGATGATATTTTAAATAATCCTTTTTTAAGTATTACTGTTGTAAATGTATTATATAAACCATGTTCAGAATAAATATTAAACATTTTTTCAAGTTCTTTCAATGAGTATAATCCAAGATGTAATTTATATGGTGTTATATGTCCATTTTGACCAATAATAAAATTACATTCTTGATTGATTTCTATTATTTCATCTTTGGGATTAGGTAGTGTAAATTTTAATGGAAAATCTCCAACTATTCTATCTTTCACTGAGTTAAAATAATGTTCCTTATCATAATTTTTTTTTTTTAGTTAGCAGCCGTGGGGCTGGTTTGTTGCAACTCTCCATTCTTCCCGATTTTCCGCTTTCCTCTTCATGTGTCTGTAGCCTGGGATGTCCACATCCCGCATTATTTGTTGTAAGTAGTCCAGAGGGGGTCTACCAACTACATTCTTTCCTACTATCATTCCTTCCATAATTCTTTTCAATAGGCTGTTATGTCTTAGTATATGTCCTATTAATTTGGTTCTTCTTTTCTTCAAACTTTTCATGAAACATCTTCGTTCTTTAGCTTTTGCGAATACCTCATCGTTTGTCATATGTTCTCTCCAGCTTATTCTTTGCATCCTTCTCCAACACCATGCTTCAAAGCCAATAATCTATTTTCTTCTGCTTTAGCAATCGTCCAAGTTTCACTACCATATAACACCACACTCCACACATATGTTTTAATCAAATTCTTTCAGATGTTAATATCTATGCTTCTGGAGGTGAATAGGTTCTTTTTCTTATTGAATGCACATTTTGCCTGATTTATTCTACTTACTATCTCTTTTTTACTAGTACCTTCTGCCGTTATTAAACTTCCTAGGTATTTATATTCTTGTACTTGTTGCAATGATTCGTTATCAATTGCGATGTTAGTTGTTCTTAGTCTCTCTTCTTCACGTCTACTACTTATTAGGATATTTGTTTTCTTAATATTTATTTTCATTTTAAACTCATCTCTCATAGTGTCATTCATTATATTTAGTGTGTTTTGTAAATCGTTTTCATTTTCTGCTAGTACAGCTATATCGTCTGCGAATCTGAGCATGTCTATTTTCTGTCCGTGTATGTTTATTCCGACTCCACCCTTCTCTCTAATCTTGTTAATGGCCTCTTGTACATACAAATTAAAGAGTTATGGTGACAGTGAGCATCCCTGACAGACACCTTTCATAATTTTGGCTTCTTCTTCACTTGCTCCACTTTTGATTACTCCTATCTCGTTCTTATACAAACTATGAATTNTATCAAAGGCCTTTTCAAGGTCTACAAATGATATAAAAGTAGTTTTTCCTTTCCTGTTCATCTTGTCAATTATCTGCCTTAATGATAAGATGGCTTCTAGAGTTCCCATACCTCTTCTAAAGCCAAATTGGTTGTCTGTTAAACTTCCTTCGATTTTAGTTTCTGTTCTTCTCATGATGATGCGGGTGAGCACTTTAGATGCATGAGATATTAAACTTAGAGTTCGGTATTGTTCACATGTTTGGGCTCTTGCTTTTTTTGGGATTGGAATTATGAGACATTTTGTGAAATCACTTGGTATTTGGCCAGTTTTGTACATGCTCGATATGATTTTGAAGAGTACGTCTTTTGCTTTCTCACCACAGTTTTTCAATAGTTCTGCCGGTATTTCATCTATCCCTGGAGCTTTATTGTTTTTTAATTCTTCCATTGCTTTATCAAATTCTCCTCTAAAGATGTCTTCTCCTATATTATCTTCTATATGTTCTTCATTATCATTCATGATGTTATCATGATTAAAACCTAAATATTTGTTAATTTTTCGTCTGGAATAAAAAAACACATTAGATTTGATACTAATTTTGAGATATTTTTTCACTCCTTTCCTTTGTAAATGTTTTTGGTTGACAAATAATAAATTCTCAATAACTTTAATAATAACCATCATGATTTTTACTACTTTCATGTTCTTTTACATTGCTGTATGTGTTTCCAATCATTAAAACCAATAGTGAATGTATTATTTTCAGTAGCAAATGCTAAAAACACTGAGCAGTTGAGTTTACCTTCATACAAATTGTAAGTACACCAAGTTCATAATAAATCATTTGTTTTAAAAAAAACTTTCTTGTAATCAAATGGAAGAAATGTTGCTTGATCTATAAGCTGAATTGGATGAACACTAAAAAAATTATCTAAGTGATTAGGCAACGGTTATTTACATTTTTCAAATCCTTGTTTTTCGAAATCAGTACCAGCTTCAATATGATCAACAGATAATGTTGAACTTGATTGTTTTTTGTTATTGAAACCTAATTAAATAATATAGCATATTACAATAATATTAGTCCATTAGTGTTAGTTTAAGTTGTTATAATTGGTTTGTAAAGTGTAATGAATTATATAAATTAGTAAATAAGTAATATATTTAATTTTGAATATGATTTCACTTATATACAATTTAAAACATACCTTGAATTTGATTATCATTATTTAAAACTACACTTATATTATTATTAGATGTACCATGATCTAAATCATTATTTTTTTGTTCAACAGTAAAAGTTTCTTGGTTTTTGTTCACAGATTCACTAACTTCTTAAATAAAAAAAACAATACCATTAACTTAGTTACATATGCATACGGGTACATTGTATGAAAATTAAGGAAAAGAAAAATATTAAAAATTTAATTTAAAAGTAGTAAACAATTTTAGTAATATACTACCATACCTTTGAAGAATGAATTCATTTTTCTACACTTTTACCCAATCAGAGACGGGAGCTTTTTGTTTTTCTCCTGTTCTCTTTTGTGCCCTTCTTTTCGTTTATTCTTGTTTTTGGTATACTCATATATATTAAAAATAAAAATCAAATCGAAAATTGTACATTAATTTAATAAAAACTTTCTGTAGGAAATAAAATAAAAGAACATTAAACATTAAGCAAATAAACGTTAAGCACCAGTATCAGGTCCGTACTTCATAATACAAACCGTCTGTTTACAAAAACCACTGAACTCGCTACTCTAACAGAGTTCAAAAACAAAAACCTTTAAAAAAAGTGTGGGTATATTTTTGTTTAGATTTATTCGGTATTATCACAGATTAAATAATCATAAATTATGGTATTATTAAATAAAAATTCGGCCCTATTTATAGATTGTGTGGTTTACCTTAACCTTGTGGTATAAGATTTATGGTAGTTTACTGGATTATCGTTATCATATTATATTATAATAAGATGACCTAATTACGTAATTAATCACACAACTAATTTCTTTTCGTTATTTCTACGGTCTACTAAAAATAACGAAATATTGATTACTTATTTTCAACACATCAGACCACTTTTTAAATAAGTAAGCCAGGTCACCGGGAATTGTCCTGGTTGCCCGGTGGGTCAATCCGCCCCTGTCACCAGACATCTAGAATATTTATACTGCCGACATTCTTATTTCCAAAAATACTTTGATAGCTACTTATGCTGATGACACAGAAAACGACATCACATTCTGACCCTTTAACAGCATATCAAAACCTCTTAAGTTCATGTTGATGAAATTTCGAAATGGTCGGATGTTTTGATGGGTTGTGAAGTATAACGGGTTTTCCCCGAAAACGACGGCCATAAAAACATTGCCATTACGAAAATGGAATTGCCATTCTTATGGCAATAATAGTATCGTCGTATTAACTAATATTACTATTGACATTATTGTCTTGCACTCTTGCGTGGTGCATCCACATCTTACATCTATGATATATAAAAACTAGATAACCGACTCCGTATACAATTATGATACCCAACGCTCCACGTCTTTCGTGGCAATGGCGTCTTCCCCTTAAATCGTGTAAAATCGTAGATAATTTAAGAATCTTATATTATCTACTATATTATGTTATCTATTTGTAGAACACTCAATCAATGGTTGTGGTATAAACCATGGCAAATGATATAACAATACATCAATGGAATAACAACCGGGCCCGTGATATAAATCGATGAGTTCTCCCACTCCTCAGTTGTAATATTTCCAACTATATGTCGTAAAATACGAAGCCACCAGTCACAAAAGACGACTATTACGAGCGTCTATTACTCCGTCGTAGCGATAGCATTTCATTGCATTACATCGGCTCCGAATGTAAATAACTACGATATTACATTGAGCAGCAAGCTAAACTTCTATTTCGAAACGGTTGTTATCAAAATCCGAATAAATGAATTTTCAATTTGAATTCATCATTTAACCTTGCATTTTGTCACCTTCATATTGATAAATAATAATTGTTTATGATAATATTTAATATATTGTTTATAACTGTTTTATTTGTTTCTCTATTGTTTAAAATCTGAATGTTTTTATCGGGTATCGCGTTTCTTTGCCCGAATTGGATTGTCTGTCGATTTAGAAGAAACTGTTTAAGAAAATATATTTTTATTTTATTACGATCAATTTTCGAATATGCTGCAGTATAATAATATATGAACAGATCTTATCGGCAGCCATGAAACAGACAGTGCAGTATTATCAATTAAAAGTATATACAAATATGCTCGCAGAAGTGTTACAACTGTAAGTTTTGTTCAAAAATTTTACTTATATCTATTGTTTTTGCATTGAAAATCTATAGGTTGTTCCATTGAGTATATAAAGTACGAATTGGTATACATGATGAAGTCACAGCAAACACTATAACAAAGAAGTGTTATTTTTAAAACTTACTGGCAGGACAGAGAAAGGATAGTTTTGATGATATCCTGATCCAATCCATTTACAGTAAGCGCTATCGTAAGAATATTTTATCGACTTCTGAATATCTGCTTTTTACATAAATACATTTTCAATAAAATTGTTTGGATAAACAAAGCATATAAAAAAGGTATTTTATCGATTGAAAAATTACTTAATATACAAGATGAACAGTTATACATGATCGTCTTATGTAGACATAATTATCTGTAATTCAAACTTAACGATGAGACCATTGAGATATTTATAACAAAACTAAAGCAAAAATAGTGTGGTATGGCTTTTTTAAAAATGATCAATGTGATAATAGGAATAGTATATTATGATTTTAAAGTATATCCGTAACACCAAAGTGAGGTTACGTCACTACAGATAAACCAACTCTGAGTTATTGCCTTTTGTAGCAGTTTTCATCAAGTTGAATTAATTTAATTTTGGAGTAATATACGTTCGGAATAGTTGTTATTCGATATAGTATACAGTAGTAGTAGTTGACTTTCGTGGTAGTTGTAGCTACCCTAAAATACTAGTATTGTAGTATCTATAACCGTGGTTAAAATCTAACCTATGAACTAAATGTGGTCACGTTTTCCATATCATTGTGTTACATTTTGTTTGTACTTTTGAACTGACTACGCGTCTAGCAATAGTTTATTATTTATACCTATTATTTTTTTCAAATGAAACATTATAAATTACTAGTTGGCTAATTTTACTGTGTATATAGTGCAAAATATGTTTTCATTCAGATTTTAACAAGGTAATTATATTTTTATTAGTTTCTTTTTTACAGGCGAATTAGGTTAGTTTAAATATTTTCATCACAGAATACATTTTGATATTGATATTTAATCGTATACAAACATTTAGTTATTTCCCTGTAGTGAAACGTTAAAATACATGTATTATCATGCTAAACAAACTGTAAGTTTGACCATCGAAGCATATTAAAATGTATTCTTATCAAGTGAACATTAATCCAACTTTGTCATCTTTTTAATAGAAATTTGTACATTGTGAACCCTTTAATTAGTAGGTATATGATTGTGATAAGTGTCATAATAATATATTTACTATTGGTTTATTGAAATTTTATTTCCTAGTTTAATTCAGATATGTGTTTTCGAAATGATTATTTTCTTATTTCTTATTAATAATTAATAATTTTAATAACATTATGCATTATATCTTGCTAATACAATTGAAATGAAAATATGTAATTTGTTTCTTTGTTTCAAAGCCTATAGATATGTTCGGAAAGATCAATTCCTTCTTGTATTGTGCTCTTATTAATATTGTTTACCTAGATCTATAGGTATACTTAATTTAAACATATAATATGTATAATCTGTTATGATGTTAGGTTAGGTTAGGTTAATGTTAAATCTGTTGTTTCTATAATTCGAATGTGAAAGTACTTATGAAAAACTTAGGTACCTGTGTCATATGCTATTTATACTGAAAACATATCTACAATTTACTCCATCTCGTTTATGGTTTTTTTTTTTACATCTGAAAACCACTCTTTTAACTGTTTTTATGTTGCAACAAATACTACAAGGTAACATTTAGCATAGTGAAATAATGTAATAACTAAATTTTAAAATTTTGCCGCTTAATGTGCTCGCTAAGCTAGTAGAAGGTTTAGTGGTCAATTGTAATAACTGCTCTAAATGTTCTATATCGGCAGACTATATATACCTATATATTAATTATATATATATCATTGCAGGCGCGGACCGGCTAAATAAGGCATGGGATGTTATAATTTATTATTTATTAGGGACAATAGATAAATTTTCTTAATGAATGAGTAGGTAACTACTTTGTTAATCCCTAATTTTGCCGTACAGAGTCTATTACACTCCATTCAAATTGTCATGGCTATAAAATATATTTTTCATAGTTTTAGAATAAAACAAAACACATCCAATAACAATTTTAAATATTGTTATATAAAATATTAAAATAATTTATCTGATAAATTGTGAACTTGGGGCTATAGATACTACAGCATCAAAATAAACTAGTTTGACTGATAGCAAATATCTACCACATAAGATCACACTGTCAACTTTAGTCAATGTCCAACCCATATTTATCGCCCAAGACATAGGTCATACAGTGTGATCAATATTTGTGTTGACAGTATACAACAAGAGTTTTGAGGGTTGAAGTGAAAGAAACATTGATTTATTAAGTGTTGGTAGCAGGTTATATCAAATTTTTACATTAAATTACTAAAAGTTTCCAATTCCCTATTGAAGGTTTGATTTACATAGAGATGGCGTTTTTATAAAGAATTTTATTTTAATTAGGTATAATTTAAATAAAATTATTTTTACTCAATTTCAAGATTTCACAATGAGTGATCCTGAAGATCTGTTTTGGTCGTCTGATAGCTCAGAAGAAATGGAAGATATGGAAGTAGATGTATTAAATGACTCAATGGAATCAATAGAATTTGAAACCAGTGGTAATAATTATATACATTTTTTTTTTATGCTTCAAACTTAAATATTTTTATAATTTAGATGTCGAAGGAGATATTGCTAATTTAAATGAAGATGATGATGATGATGATGATGATGAAGATGAACAAGAACAAATTATTGCTAATTCAGATGATTATGGAGAAGAAGAAGTTATTGATAACCATCCGATTGTACCTCCTTTACGATCATCTGCACGGTTATCTGCACGAGCATCTGCACGATCATCTGCACGATCATCTGCACGATCATCTGCACGGTTATCTGCACGATCATCTGCACGGTTATCTGCACGAGCATCTGCACAGTCAGCTTCAAGAGCACCTGTTTCACCTATTCGATCACCTATTCGGTCACCTGGACACCGTTCTCTCGAAGTAAATGTTCATACAGATTCTGATGATTCAGTAAATTCTACAGACTCAGTAGTAAGTTTTTTATCTTATATAGTGCCAGTTTATTGTGTTCTACATAATATCTTGTAACAATTTAAATTTGATTTCATCAATATCTTTACTCTCCTTACATTACTATTATATTAGTAAATACAAGTTTTTATGTTATATGGAAACAATTTTAAACAAATGTTATCCAGTATAATTCAGTCTGAAAAGATAAATGTCTTTAGAATGTTTTCAAATGAGATATTTAATAATTACTTAGAAATGTATCAATGAATATTTGAAGAATCTGACTCACATATTAAAAATTGTTTATAATTGTTATTACTGAAATTCCAATCGTCTTTTTCATTACCTTCATCCCAAGTATTTAGGGTACATCACCAGTGGCAGATCTAGAATTTTTTTATAATGAGTACTCGTTTGCTTATAATGGCCCTAAGGTACTTATTTGTTATTATGAAAAAAAAAAAAATGAATAATTTGGAGCTTAAATTTGCTAGGAAAATCAGTCTTGCAATGTGCATGTATTTTTGATGTATTACATAAATAATTCAATATAATTATTAATTAACATACATAATTGTATCTAAAGATTAAATAAACATTTTGTTATTTTTTAATGAGTACATAATAATACAATGTATGTAATTTTATATTTGAATAGTGTACAGTTAGATTGACCAGTCCTCAAATTTCATTCTCAATTTTTTTTTTTTTTCTAGTAAACTCATTGATAAGTCAATATGTTTTTCTTTATGAATATTTAATAGAGCTAAGCTGTTCAGTCTAGACACAGTCATTATGAAATGCATGCGATTTTTTAATTTCCTCAAGGTAGAAAATGACTTTTCAGCGGTTTCTGTAGATACTAAAAACTTAGCAAATAATTTTAAGACTATATTGATATTTAGAAAAAAATGTTTAACAATATGAGAGTGATGTAACAGCAGTATGAGAGAGGTTTGTTTCTATTTCATTCCATTTAACATTCCAAAGATTTATTTCTGCTTTTAATACCAATTCTGAATTGAAAGTAAATCTTGGGCATAAAACATTTCAGCTTTTAATAAAGCCTCAATACTGTATAAATTGGAATGAGTCTTTCAAGTGAAATAACTTGAGCAAATTTATCACTAAATCTAGATTTTGAATATTTTGCAATATTAACCATATTCTCTTTAACTGTCCTGCACTGTCAGCTGATCACTTACATCTTTTTTTCGCTGCTTTATTCTCTTAACATTCATCTCGATTCCCATCACATACTTATATCTCATTTATCTCTAGCTATCATTAATAAAATTGCTTGTATAAATTAATGTAACCATTATGTATATTTTAATTTTGTTTAATCAATGTAATTAATAGTTGAAACTACTTGTTTTAAACAAAGTTTTAATAAAAAAAAATTCTTGAATAACGTGGTATAAAAATTGTTATATCAAACCATTACATAAGATTTCTGTTAATCTTGTCATTAATATTATTCTTCTTTGTTTGGTGAGCACTAAGTCAAGTTTTTCTAATAAAAATGTGTAGAACGGTGGGAGCTTCAGCACCACAAGCACCCCACCCCACCCCTTAAATCTGTCACTGTCAGTCACCCTTATTCTAAACTTCCTCTTGACCCAATATTCCTCCCATACACTGGCTGCCCTTATATTATTTTCAATTGTGTCCATCATCTCTATTTCAGTAATTTCTTTTCCTCTTTCCTCTTACATTTATTTAAATTATTATTATTACTGCTTTAGATTCCTCTATATCTCTGTCTTTCTCTTCTCTTAGTACTCCACTCATCCCACTAAGCATTCTCATCTCTGTTACACTCATTTATTGTTTTATTTTACTGTCTACCTCCTAACACTGAACCATTCACCATGGTTGGTCTCACAACACTTGTAAAACTTATTTAAGTAATTAGAATCCTCTTATTATATTAATCATATGTTTCATATCATCGTCAAAACCACCTTTCTTCTGTGCAAAAGATCCTAGATACTAAAAAATTTCAACCCCCCTATTATGTTACTGCTTACTCGTGTTAACTGTCTTGCCCCGTCCCTTTAAATACTGTTTCCATTCCTCAAACCTATTGTTATATTCTTTCAATTTTTTTCCTATCCAAGATCTATCATCTGTAAATATACACCATGGAAAGTCCTCTTATCTGTTGTACCCACACATGTCTTAGATAAGACAATCTGCCAAAGTGTCATTTAGAATTCTGTTGTCCTGATATAATTCCATTTTTCTCCTTCTACAATAGGTCTCTAATAACTTTCATATGACATAGAGATATTATTGGAGTATTCTAAACCTTTCCTACAGAAAAAATACCATCATATGCTTACTGTAGTCACCCACCTAGACTTTTCATCAGTAGGAGTTAAGGGCCTCAGGTTTGTTAAATGCATCATATGCCTCCCTAAGGTAATTAAATGATTACTGAGAGCCCAATAATATACAAAATATAACTTAATTAATAATGTTTTTCTTTACTATATCTAAAAGTCTTGCATACAACAATCTATGATATTATACTTATATTATTACAATGTTTCAGGCTATTGAAGTGATAAATCTAAATAGAGATTTTATTAGTCTTAATCAACCTATTCCACAAAATATAATTCCATGTGTGGAACCTATAGATGCCCTACAACCTACAACATCCAGAGAACCATCGGAAAATACTGTTAATGGTAAAATATAAGTGTTATAACTGAACTCCAAAATGTGGTTATTGTGCAATTAGCTAGATTACTTGGATACAATGTATACTTGATATTGATAATCATAATTTTGTACTGTTCATAAAAAATTCTATAGCAAAAATTTAAAATAAGCACAAAACTGGGCATTTTTTCTAGCAGTAATATTTTCATCATTACCTGTTTCATTATTATTTATTAATGTTTTGAAAATGAAATACGAAACATTCTTTATAATTAATATTAATATTTTTAGTATTTAAGTATGCATTGTCATAAAACTGGGCCTAACATGGTCTGATAACATTATATATTATTTAGCACTGATGTTTCATCCTACCCCTCTTTTTTTAACTATAATATACAATTTAAATACTAAAGTTTACAGTCTAAAATATAGTTATTAAACATTTGATTTTACAATAGAATACATATCCTAAATAATGTGTTTAATACTAAAATATAATAAATATTAATTAATAATAATGAAACAACTGACTGGCTCATTACTTATACTCGTTTATTTAGATACAATAATATTTAAATGTAAAAGATAACTTCATTAAATAATATCTTTACCTGACAAAAATTATTGTTTGTTTGTTATTTAATTTTTTAAATTTTTTATTAAAGCTTTTAGTCAAAACTATTAAGCCCAATAATTATAGTTTATAATAAAACAAATAAAAAGTACAAAATTTAGATAACAAAGTCCAGTCTTGAGGATAAAAGAGATAATTAGTGTAATAACATGTTAAGAGTTTGAATTTGATATTTATTGACAAATATTAAATTATACCTATTTTATCTTGAGAGTAGGTACCTATCTATTTAAGTATACAACTATACTGTCAGTTAATAAAATTTAGATGTGTTCAGAGTAAAATATATGTTTAAATTTATTATAATTATGCATTAGTTTCAAGTACCTACATTCTTCTGTACTAAAGTATATGAAATATAGGATTAAGTGTGGTTAGATAAAGTGGAAAGAAGAATCTCGTGCTTTATGTGACAAGAGAAATTCCAAAGAAATTAAGGTTAGTTCTACAAAAATATGGCAAGAATATGATAAGACTAAGATTATGTTGTAGTGTTGGATGGTAGACAGAAAAATATAACAGAGTATGAATTTAGTAGAGATGTGAATAAGTAGAGTAATTAGAGAAAAAGGATAATAGGTAGTTTAGGTGTAACTTTGATAGAAAATAGATAGTTGGTTTGTGATTATTTGGGCATGTCATGAGGAGAAAGGAATCTGCTATGAAAGGTATTGCATCTTAATTCTCAAGAAATAAAGAATTGTTTGAAACTTTTTTAAAAAGTCTGGCACTGATTCATTTTTTTCTCATGATTTATTTATTAAACATAGCTAATAAAATTTTGTTCTCGTTGGACTTTTTTTCATCTAGTTATGACAGTTTTAAATTTAATACATTATTTTTAAGAAACACTGTGCACATTTGCCAATTTCAAACTTTAGCAGCAACAGTAACATATATTTTTTAAATTTATAAACAATATTTATTTACAAAAAATATCAAAATATAATTATTTTGAATTAATTTGTATTGTAATAAATTTACAGTTAATAGAGATGTATCATGCATCATATGCTTAGAAGATTATAACAATTCTGGTTCACATAAACCTGTTTGTTTAAAATGTGGTCATATTTTTGGAGAACATTGTATAGTGAGATGGATTAAGGTACATGAATTTTTTTATACAGCTATTTATACTAAAATGAATACCTTCTGATGTTGTCTTTGTATTTAATAGAATGGATGTAATAATGATGCAAGAAGATGTCCAACATGTAACACAAAATCAACTCTAAAAGATATTAGAGTTTTGTATGCCAGTAAACTAATAGCAGTTGATACAGCTGAACTAACTAGTGTTCAAAATGCACTTGAACAAGTGAGAACAATAAATTAATTTAAGTTATGATTATAGTTTAATATAAGATTAATAAATAAATACCTATTTAACTTTAGTAATATGTGATTTTTATCTTTAGCTAAAAATCTGTCACAATATTATTAAATTTGAAGTATAATTGTATAATAATATTTTAAACTAATTAAATTAAATAAATTCTATATTTGATAAAAATAAAATGTTTTTGTAGGAAAAAATTGAAAATAGTGCAATGAAAACTGAACTTAATCATATTAGAATGAAACATAGAAATTTGAGGGGAGAAGTTACAAGATTAAAAGTCCTTGTTGATAAACTGGTAGCTGGTATACCAACCACTAGTTTTAGTCCAACTTCAAGCCGACAATGTCTAAAAAAAGTGAAAATAAATGGTACAAACCCAGACTGTAGAGTTATAGCCTTCAATAAAAAAAACATGTTGTTAGTAAGTATATTGGTGTATAGGTACTTAACCGTAATTAGTATTTTTATCTTTAAAAATGTTAAATTATTGTAAATTTCATTCAATAGGTAGTATCGCAGGGAGGAGAAGGACCATTTGCTAGTTCCTATGGAATCAGGAAGTTAAATGCTTCAGTGCTAGAACCTACAAAAGAGTATATCTTACCACACAAAAAACAATTACGTGATATGTCTTTCCATCCTATAGACGATAATCAATTGGCTACAGTTAGTTTGGATAAATGTGTTTGTCTTATTGATGTATTATCTAACTCAGTAATTTCTAATGTGGAAGGTAATGATGTTTTAATTTATTATTTCATTACAATTTTATTTATTTACATAGTTTTAAACAATATTTACGAATTTATTTCATGATTTATTTTTTTGGTTTTATCAAGTTAATAAAAATGTAAACCATTATATAAACAAAATCTATAACATAGAAGGGACTCCACTTCCTTGGAAGGTTTCTGGTTATGCCACTAAATGAAATAAATATATATTTGATCTTCTGATTTTATTATTGTAGTTAACGACATTAATAAATTAATTTTGGATTATTACTATCATTTAATAGCAATAACTTGCTAGATGATATTATTTACGTTGTTTTGTTTTGTATTTAAGAAGGCTTAGCATTTAGTTAGGCTCGTATTCAGTGTTTAGTTATTAAGTTAGTACTTACCTATTATCAAAGCTATCAATATATTTATATATTTTATTCCCTTATGAATTTTATTTGTAAAACTTTTACACATTAGGTACATTATTTATAAGGACTCAATTTTAAATTGCTGTGAACATTTGTTTGAATTTAAATAACCTATATCAGATTAGAGCATTCACATTGTAAACCTATTAAATAAAATCCACAATCAATCATGCATGTTTAGTTTTAGGCGTACATTAGAAAAATCCTCTAAAATTAAACACAATATTTTGATTATATTAGTCTTTTTTTGATTGGAATTTATTTCGGGTTGTTATCGCTCATCAAAGTGGTGTGATTGGTAAATAAAAAGCTTAATAGTAGTTTACCCAATATTTCATTAAATATTTAGTCCAATTTTAGTGTTTTAATCAATATCATAAATACAGTTGTTTGTTTAAATTAAATTTGTATGATAAATCATTTTCTTGACAGCTAATTATTTAATAACATTATAACTAATAACAAAATTAGAACTATTATGTATTCAAAGCTAAAGAATAAAAAACTAATAATTAAGTTAACTACTATAGTCATCATATATTTTTACATGGTAAAACTAGGCCAACTATTAGTGCTATTAATTATAGTTTGTTTATATATTAACTGCAATTAATTAAATTATATCATGCAAAAATAAATAAACAACAATTCACTAGACACGCTTCTTTTACAGCAGCTGTGTATACAGTATAGCACCGAGTTCCAACCTTAGTAGAAAACCTTGGGTCTAATTTTGTCTAATTGGTCTATATAAGAGATTATTTTTTAGTTATCTTATAAGTTCGCTTAATAATTGGGTGTAACTGGATTATTTATGGTAAAATGATTTCTGTTAATTTGGCTTTTCATTTTAATTCAATTAAAAATAATTATTAAATTCTGTAATTCCCATAGATTAGTTATATTTGTCCTTTTTAAACTTCTAGTCATTATTTGTTTTTTTTATAAGTGTTTAAATTCAAAATTTAATGCAAATTGAAAAAAGGATGAGGCATTCTAGATTCCGATTTGTGTAAATAAAAAATTGTTTTGCCTAAAAATTCTCAAAAGTTAAAAAAAAAACACAATTTAATTTATTTTTAAGTTATAAATTAATGCAATTTTAAAAAACAAAATAAACAAACTCTTCCCAAAATCTTTTTTTTTTTTTTTTTTTTTTCAATGATTTATTGTTGCGTAAAGATAAAAATATCATGTCTCTGATAAGTACTAAGTATTTTATTAATTATGTATTATCATTTTTAGTTGATGAACCATTGTGGTGTTGTTGCTGGGATGGTAATAATACCAATTTAATTATTGCTGGTGGTCAAATGGGTTCATTATATTTTTTCGACCGAAGATATATGCAACTATTAAACCAACTCAACAACCGAAATCCAGCTTGTGTTTCTCTTTCTCCTATTCCTTTAGATGCATCTAGGTCATTTCCCAATGGAGGGTTTTTGAAAACCAGAATGGACCATTTGTCTATATTTGAAGAAGACAAAACACAACCATTCAGTTATAAAGAACATAATTTGCCATTAAAGGGTAAATGGAGTAATTCTGTGTATGATATTGAATCAAATCTCTTGCTTACATCTGCTAAACCCTGTGGTGCCAACAAGTCTATCAGACATATTGTATCTAAAATATCAAATTTAAATGAAGAAGGACCTACAATACAACCAGTAGTGACATTTTACGGTTAGATTTTCATAATTATTATATGTGTTAATGATGTAATTAAATCTGAATTTAGTTCTTTGCCCATTTAGAGATGTAATTTTTGTTTTGTTTTTTTTTTAACGTTGTTTGATAATAGAACTATAAAGAATGATGGATTTTTAAGTATAAGATAATATCATCTATTAACCTTTTTCAGGTGGGAACAAGAATACACAATTAACGCGTTCATGCTTTGTACCACCTAATGATAATTACGAAAATGTATTAGTATGTGGTTTTGATGAAAAATCAAAAGCAATAAAAATATTTGATCTCAATACAAACACAAATGTTCACAACTTTTATGTAGATGAAATATTCACAGATATGTGCCATATGAATCCTATGTCTATGAATGGTAGACGAACAATAGCTGCTTTATCACATAATGCTGTTAGTATATTTGCTGTGTAAACTAATGGTTATGAACGATCATATTCTTTATTTATGTTTACATACATTTAAATTATAATTTTTTTCTTTTTTTTTAAATTCACATCTAAGACTTATCTAAATATTATGATTTTTGTACAAGTTTTAACACCTTGTTATTCTTCTACTTAAATGTTTTATAAATTAAAATTATAACAGATATTGTAATAACAGAAAACATCAATAATTATTGTGTGTTTTTTAATTAAGTTTATAAATAAGACTGTAATATGTGTAGTGGCTACCCTCCTACTTTATCATACACGTTTATAATAACATGAATTTTTAGTTTTATTTGATTTGTATTTAGAATTTAATAGTTTGTATCTACAAATTCTAGCTTAACCTGCGCTTATATCTATCCAAAATTTATATAATGAGATTTAAATAAAATAAAAATATTATGTACAAATATAGTGATATGATTATTAAATTCTAATTGTAAAATCAATCATATATAATTATTAAGTTTTATGCTTAAAATACAAACATACTATTGTTTGTAATGTATTATGTATATGTATTATATATTAATTTTTTTAATTTTGATCCGTTCTATAATAAAAATGTACAAGTATTATTTTTAATTTAAGTGTTTTTAATAATATGATTTAACACAGGTATTTTCTTGTTTTTGAGGCACCTACCCAATATTAATTTATTTTGATGTGTTTTTCATTTTTAATTTATAAATTTTGTTTGGTTTTTTTACATAGTCTTTTACACCATTTCTGCCAATATTGGCTTACCATTAATTCTAACATAGTAGATTGTCATTGCATTTAAATCCTTGTTAACTCAATCTATTCTTCTTTGGTGAAATCTACCCTATTTTTTCTTTCCAAATGTAACAGCATATTGCTGTAAAATGTTTGCCATAGTATACAGACACGAAACTTAATATTGGTTATCAGAAACCTTACAATAATTTATTAAATATTATTTTCCTTTGATAAATAAAACTTACACACATACAACACTGCTAAAAAAAAATAGAAAAATGTGTCTTCATGAGTTTTATACAGATTTGAACTTCAATTGCTATTAAAAGAATGTTAGGACATTGAACCTATTTTTTTTTAACAATTTAAAACAACTTATGGATTCCAAAAATATTCACAAAAATTGAAAGCCTCAACAATTTCAAATAGCTATAATATTTAAAAAAGAATGTAGAATGTTCAAAAATTATAACACATTTAGAAAATGCTAACGTGTGTATTTGGTGAAAATTTTTACTCTATGAGATTATTTATGAAAAGACAAATACATTTTTTTAAAAATCTATATTGCATAAATATTTGACATTTAATATGTGAGAGGGAAAAAACGATAATAGTCATAGTAAATTTTAAAAAATTTGATACTTGAGCATTATCTCTACAGTTAATGTATTTCTATTCAAACTACATGTTATAATCATTCATATGTGGTTTAAATTTGATGTAAAATTAAGGAAAACGCGTAAATCCCACGTCGTAATCTCCATGACAGAAATAGACATTTCTATTATGGTAATTTGTACAAAATGTCAGGGTTGGTAACATAAGCGTATAAAACTTTATAACAACTAAGACATGTTTTAGATTCCGAGTGTAGCGAGGGAGCTATTGGTTTTATGATGCTATTTATTGTTTTTTTTCTTCTATTGGTTTTACTAAAATTTTTCTTTTTTCCTTTCTTTCTTTCGTTCTAGTCTGTGGACACGTCTTTTCCTTGTAAACTTGCTTCGATTTTTACGTGTATTACTTTTTCTGAGAGCTCAAGTTGTCTAAATTGTACTTTAAAAAAGTCAATTTTTGATTTTCGGCGCCATTTTTGAAATAAAAGCACTAAAGTGAGAAAAAAACGTAGGAAAACGTACATTTTCACGATTTCATTATTTTATAAAAACACGTGTTTTCTACCAAAAAAAAAATATTTAATCGAAAAATTACAGGTCACCTTTTCAATTTATTTATTACGGTATCATCATCAAAAGTTTTGAGCCACCTTTTAAGGAATTTTAATTTTTGGGAGTTTTATGATTATTGAATAATTTAATCGAAAAATCAAAAGATAACTTTTTTGTTGCCTTTTTGATTTAATTTCTTACGGTATCATCGCCAAAACTTTTGAGTTTTTAAGAAATTTTTTTGCTGTAATTTGGTTATAAATACACGTAGAGACCTGAAACTTGGTACTAATACTTATATTGGACTTATCTAAACGTGGTAAAATTTCCAAAATGATTGGACGACTTAATTTCCTTTTTTAAATTTTTTTTCTATGATTTTTTATTAATCTTTTTTTTTTATTTACCGTTGACCATTTTTATTCTAGAAAACTTGTATAAGTGTAGCACTTTTTCTGAAGTCAATTTTATCTACTAGGTAAATACATGTCATTCATTTATTTTCGAAACGGTATTTAAAACAAAAACGATTAACCGGGGAAAAAAAATAAGATTTAATTTCTTGAAATAAGTACTTACCACGTTTTCTAGCAAAAATATGACTCTAATTAAAAATTAATAAGAGACCATATTTTTGTTGAATTTTTTTATGCATTTAAAAACTAAATTTAAAACAAAATCACAAAAAAAAAAGACAGCACTTCAAATTATGCATTACCAATTTGCACTCGGAATCATCTTTGCGTCAGCAAAGGTTAGTGTTGCTTACAGATATAAATGAAATAACCTTATGTATCCTATCTTCCCAATTTCTCACCTACATTTTAAATTTTAATAAGTATTTAAACTTCTAAATGAATATAACAAATTAACAAATCACATCAATTTGGTGAATTTTCTTAAATTTAGAATAAAATAAAAACAAAACAAATTATTTTTTGGTATTATAAATATTAATGTTAAATATGCTAAATACATTTAGCAATGTTTATACCAATTTAATGGATGTAATGTAGTTATACTTTTGAGGCAGCACGGCGTGCGGCATTTTATTAATGCTTCACATATGCTAAATTTAAATTTAAAAAATAACAATATATCTAATATAAAATGTTAGTTTTTTTATTCTAATTATAGTATGTAGTCAATATTCTCAATTAATCACCAATAGTAGTTGATAATTTGAGATAATGTGTCATTAAGTAGGTACCAAAAATTTAAATAAGTCAATTTAATATTTTTTGTATTAAAGTTGTCTGAAAGAAATTATAAAAGAATAATGCATTTATTATCATTATCTTATATTTTATCTCCTGATCTTAGAGTTTTGAAACTTACAAATTGTAATCTAAAAATCTTAGGAATATTGACTATTATCATTTTTCCCTGCAGTCTTTCATAAATAAAAACCTGACTTATTAACATGTATTAAGTCTATGATCAATACATCACTGCAGAAAAATAATAATTTTAAATTTAATAAGAGAGTGAACAATGCAATTGTCTAACAATTGTAGTATTATAATACTTAAATTACAAATTAAATTATCAAAAAAAAAAAAAAAAAACATTAAATTGGTAAACAAATAATTTTTAGATTTGTAAAAACATTAAATACTTTATTTATTAATATTATTAGTGTAGTATATAAAATGTTATAAATTATCCAAAGGCTGTAACGCATATACCTAAATGAAATGTATTAGATATCAAATTAAATTTTAGCATCATATTTTGATCAATTTAGTTACTTTTTTTCTTGTTGGGCTTGAAACTGTTGTTGCAATTTAGTCAACTTATCTCTATATTCGTCTTGTTGTTTTTCTAACGATGTTATCCGACCATCAATTCTGGTTAATTCTTTTTGTATATAATTCATACGTTTATCAATATTTTCCTTGGCTTCTGTATAATCTTGACGCAATAATATAGGACCAACCATTTTATACACTTCACCAGTAGGTTTTAATAATGATAATTCTTCTTTGACAATTGAATTTTCATTAAGTTGACCATCTAGTTGTTGACGCATTCCAGTCAACTGATTAACTTCTTTTTGACATTGTTTAAAAGCATCTAGTTCCCGTTGGAATTGTTTCTGTAATTCTTCGGCCATTTTTAAGTAAAAACTATATAGAAAAAGATATTAAAAAATCACTTAAAATAAGTTAAACGGTTTTATATTTGTGATCTGTTCTTACTTTATTTGTAATTTTTTAAGACTTTGCTATAGACTGGGAGACTTCAGTTGCACGTTTTCATAAAAATGTATTTCTTAGTAATCAATATTTTACATGCATCTTTATCATAAAATAAACTGTACGAATTCGACACAGATGGCAGGACAGTCACCACTATACCTATAAATAATAAGGATATGACTATATCACGGTAAAAATAAACGATAATATAACCATTCAAAACCGGGTTGGTTATAACAACCGAACCGTATTTTAGCCGAAAATATTACAACCGACCGTATTTAAGCCAAACATGAAATTATCAAGAAATATTTAAGCAGAAAAATATTTCCGCCGACAGTATTTCGGCCAAAAATAAAACAACCGAATGTATTTCAGTCAAATCACCCGAAACTCTATTAATTATCAACTTGTATATTTCTTATCATTGTTTTTAATCAGAAAATATTGAATTAGAAAATTTGAAAATTTGAACTTTGAACGTCAATATTTTGAACAAAATTGAAAAATTTGAGTTTTAATCCTGACACAATTTCAATCATAAAAAAAAAAAATAATAAAACCATAACATTTTGAATAATTTTTATGGTAAAAATATATATTATTTAAATAAGTTTTAAATTATTTAGGTGTACACAAATATCCACTTGCACATATTGGATTTATTATCACAACTAAACCAATATATTTTCTAATTAACTTTTATTGATTAAAAATTAAAAAAACAAAAGTGGGTTACTTGGGTCCCAAGTCTTGAGACATTTGGTCAACTTGTTTTTCATTTTAAAATAATATGTACTGAATTTCTCTCCTTTTTATTTACTTCTTATCACGCGTTATCGTTTTTTGGATTTCACCTTATCTCTTTATTACAGCCGACTAAAATATTTTTGGATAAAATACTGTCGGCGAAAATACAGTTTAGCTGATTTATTTTCGAGTTTTTTACGTGCTTCCCTAAACCGATAATAGCTAAAATATCTTAAAATCTGTCTGGTTATCAATTTATTATAATTCGTAAATTATTGAATTATTGATTTGTTTAATGTAAATCAGTGACCATTTTTTAACTAATTATGAAATAAATCGACCTAGTAAGTATTAAATACCTAATTGTCGATTAATTTTGTGAAATAGTGGTTAATTTAGTTGATAATAATCGTTTTAACAATTGCATATTTACATTATTAGATTTATCATATTAAAATAATCCATCAGAAAAAGTTTTTGAAGTATAAATTATATATATATTGCCTTGGAAAATCAATAATATTACATAATTGTAAAGTATAATTAGAGAGCGGGTCTTTAGGTTTTTACATATATTTATTGACTTTATGCAGTCCAAAGAGGATGAAAAATGTTGACAATTTATCTATTACAGAGTTCATGTAAAAAAATTATTTTACATATTTGAGCATATTTTGAATTAGAGAATATTCAGGCCATTTATTATATTTTACAATATATTGTATTATTGTTCATAATAAAATTATATATTTAGCTGATTTCTTGAGTTGTGATATTTTCATTGTAAGAAAATATGATTATTATTTATTTGATTGAAGAATGATGAAAATCATTCAGTTTCTGGTTTGTAGTCAAATTAGTAATGCTAGTCACTCTATTTCTCTTGGATTGTTAACAAAATCATAAAGATATTTTGACGAGCTATAATATTTAGTATCTATGATACAAACAATTCAAATTAACCATTAACATTGTTCAGTTTTTATTTTAATTTTATTGTATTCAATATTATTTTTTAAAATGCCAAAACAACAATAATATTATGAAACATATTATCTTTTAAAGATAGCTGAATTTAAATAATTTACCAAAGAAATAATGCAAATAAATGCATATTTTGAGGTTGATTATCAAGTTTGAGTACCTATATTATAACACGAGGTGCAATATTAATGGTAAATATAAATATTGTAAAATTTAATGTAGGCATATATACAAATATACAATACATATTTCTTATTGTAACTTGTGTACAATTCTATACATTTTTTTTAAATAAAAAAATCTTATTTTTAGTATATTTTACATGTTTAAGGAATATTAAGAGAATATTTTAAGGTTTTTTTTAGAGCATATTAGCATAATATTTAAAACTTTTAAGAACCTAAACATCTGCTCTCCACACAGTTTATTGTAACATCAACAAGATTTTAAATACAAATTTCATTTAATGAAAAGCTTGTGCTGGGGTAGCAGTTCTTAAAACTGCAAATAAAAGAACAAATATTAGAATACAATTTTTTATGAATAATACAAATAGTATCCAGATCCAGAGACAAATATAGGAATAGAGTGGATTAATACTTGTATATTAATTGATTTAATATTTATTTTTGTTCTTATACCTATGTATGATATTTTACTCTTTTAGACATCCACAAAATGAGTAACATTTATATTCAAGAACCTCCAACTTCTGGAAAAGTAATTAACTTTAATATTTTTGTTATATTTTTTAAATATAATTATTGGACATAATATTTGAACAATAACAATTAGTAGGTAATTATACCTATTTTGAAGTTGAAATTAATTTTTTGTTAATATTATAACCAGGTGGTTCTAAAAACTTCATTTGGTGATATTGAAATAGAATTATGGTCAAGAGAAGCGCCAAAAGCGTGTAGAAATTTTGTACAACTCTGTCTTGAAGGGTATTATGATGGAGTTTTATTTCATCGTATTGTAAAAGGTTTTATAGCTCAAGGAGGTGATCCAACAGGAACTGGATCAGGTGGAGAATCTGTTTATGGTTATCCATTTAAAGTATTACATTTATTTACACAATTACGCTGTAAAATGGCATGTAAGAAAAAAACAAAACAAATTTTAGGATGAAATCCACTCACGTCTACGGTTTAATCGTCGTGGTTTGGTTGCAATGGCAAATGCTGGCAAAGATGATAATGGATCTCAATTTTTCTTTACATTAGGATCTACTCCAGAACTTCAATCTAAACATACTATATTTGGAAAAGTTGCCGGCGATACTATATTCAATTTAACTAAACTAAATGAAACTCTTGTGGATAAGGTATTTATACCTTGTGGTTTCTACGAAATTATATAATTGATAAGTTTATACATTTTATTTTTAGGAAGATAAACCAGTTTATGATCAAAAGATACTGAAAACCATTATACTAAATAATCCTTTTTCTGATATTGTACCTAGAATTGAAAAAAAAGTTGATAAAATTGAAAAAAGTTCAAAAAAGAAAGAGAGTGTTGGTGTTAAGTAAGTTTCATATTATTTTAAGTTGCATTTCTTTTCTGCTTTTTAGAAATTATTTGAATAGTAAAAGAGGAAAAATAAAATAATTACTTTGATATACTCTGTTTACACTTAGATGTACAGGCAGTTTTCAGTTTAGATTCTGAGTGGAAGAGGAATATATTGGTTTTATAATGATGTTTTTTTTTTTTTTTTTTTATCTGAGCACCTTTTACCAAAATACTCCGATTATCAAGTATAGCACCTTTTCTGAAAGGAAATGTTCTCTGGGTGGTTCTTCAAAGAGTTCATTTTTTTTGAAATTCTCATTAATATTCGAGATAATCAGGAAAACCTTGGATTAAAAAAGATTAAAAGTAAAGTTGTCATTGACAACCGTTTTTACTTTTTGTTTTTTGTTATTAAGTTTTTATTTTTTTAAACAATCATTGTTGTAATCATTTTATCATAATATGACATAATGTATATTTTTAACAAAGCAACACTATCAACCGAACTCCGTTCAAAATCGTTTTTTTATTAGAAATGGTTTATTGTTGCTTATATATATACATTAAATTCCCGTTTGTATTCTACCCTCCCAACTTCCCACTTTGAACAGTGCCTGCACCCATGTGCAAAGTATGTCCTTCCTTTTTTTCATTTTATATTACCATAACCATTTCAAAAAATTCAAAATTAATTTTTTTGTCCCTTAATGTATCTTTTATACTCTTATAATTTCAAGAGGTGTATATTACCTGTATAGTTAATTTAATTAAATTAATTAAATAATTATGTTATTATTTGTTCCTTATATAGTTCCATCTTCTAGATAAAAGACAAATACTAGTAAACTTTAGAATTTAAATTCAAAAGTAGTGTTTTAAATTTAAGCTCTACACAATGCTCTTAAATTTTGTTGATATTGATGTAGATTTTGATGACTGATTAGTAGATATATGAATAAGATTAAAACTTAAAAATGTATAAACATAACCTAGTGAATGAAGAACAAAAAATTAGCAACATTTCAATAATAGTATTAAAGATGTATTTAAAACTTCCATAGTTAACAAATAATATCTGATTGGAGTATTGAACGTGATAATGATCACATTAGAGAAGCTATAATTAATATAGTAATAGAGATTTTAAGAAAAAAAATGATAAAAATCTAAGTCACGGTACAATACAATTTGCAAAAAGTATTATAAAGAAAAAAATTGACAAAGTATCAATGGAATTGTGGAGAAATTAAAGCTAAATAACTGCGAAGAGCCTGATGAAGTCTTTAAGTTAAACCATAAATCACCTATTGAGAATGAAATCCAGACACAATTCATAAAAAAGAAATAGAGAAAATAACCCTTAGTGTGTAGAAGTTAATTAACAGAATTTGAATAACTGAAAAGATACAAAATAATGGAAAACAGTAGTGGTGTATAATACGAATATAAGAATGAGATTTCTTAGATGCCTTTGTTTGAGATGGAGAGATTTAGTAAAGAAAGACATATAATCTCTAAATGGAGGTCAGACTCGAAAATAAAAGTAGATGACAGCTACAATTAGAGGCTTGGATGTGTGACAAGTTGTCCTTGTCACCGATAACCCTAAATAAGAAAAATTTATTATATTTTAGTAATTAAAACTTCAAATACACTTTATTTGAATTAGTTTAAATCTTTATACAATTATTTTTAGGAACTTTAAACTTTTATCATTTGGAGAAGAAGCTGAAGAAGATGAAGATGAACTTAATGACGCTGTAAAAGAATTTAGTGGTAAACCAAAATCAACACATGATATACTCAAAGATCCTCAGTTAAGTTCAGCACCTGCTGTTATAGATAATGTTTTAAAAGATGATATGCAATTACCTATCAGTGATCAAACTTCAAAGTAAAATATATTTAATTTTGCAACTATATTTTAATTATTTTGCACAGCTTAAATAATATTGATTCCTATTTTTTTTTTAAATATAGAATTAGTGTTGATGATGTTCGATCAAAATTATCGTCCCAAAGTAAAAAAAAAAACGTATCTAAACCAGCAGATCCATTAAATATAGAAGATTCCGATGAGGAGTATGAACTTGGACAAGACATAAAAAAGGAAAAAAAAAGAAAATTGTAACTATAAATTATATGATTTTCAGTGATGTACTGTATTAAATTAATTTTCAAATTTGTTAATTGTATTATTAGAGAAGAAATTCGTAAAGAAATTAAAGATATAAAAACTCACCTTTCAAAAAAGAAAAATAATAAAGTAAAGGATCAAGTCATAGATGATAAACCAATTGAAGCACAAATGCCTGTTAATCCACTTAAACAAGAATATCTGGACAATTTTAAGTTCTATTCTTCAAAAAAGAGCGAGTCTCCTTATAAAGGTATACAATAATTTGTATTAAATGTCTTCAATAGAATTTTATTGAATCACGATAATGATTTTGTTCTGTGCCTTCTACACAAATTGTCAAGCTATTATTATAGCTTGACAATTACTTAATTATTGACATTTGATTGATATTTTTATATTATTACACCAATAATATTGATCTCATATATATTAAGCACTACTGTCTACTAAGCAAAAGGACGTAAACAATATGTTGATAATTCTTTAGGGAACACACATAAAAAGAATTGTTATAAATATTCAATACTTGGTGGAAATTGAATGAAATTTGTTTAAACTTTATGTATACTTTCATCTTAAATAAGTTATTATAAAAAAATTTACTTTATAATATTAAATTAGTTATCGTGATTACACTAAAAAAAAAAAACTCTAAAAATTAAGTAATATTCTTAATAATTTTGATTATTATTTTAGATATTAATAATTGGAGATAACATTAAAATATTTTCCTTACACTTGGCCTAAAACTGATATTGTAGTTTATAACTATTGATGTAATTAAATCACAGAATTGTATACTTCCGCCACTCAATTATGCCAGCAATTTTACAGTGTTAAAAAATTGAACACCTCATTAATTTATAATGTATTATAAACAGTAATTTAAAAATATTACCTTATTATTTTTGATAAAGCTAATTTTTATAATAAGAATTTTGGCCAAAAGTGTTGCTTGTGTTCTTTTGTCTATTAAGACTGGTAAATATTTATTTTTTATGAAGGTAAATTATTTTTTTTACTACAACTTTTTGATCTGTAAAAAATGTTTATTTTTTTTTTTATTATAATATAATTAAAGATTTGTAATTTTTATTAATATTAAAATATCTGATTTTATAATTTTTAAATTAGGCCTAAGTAGAGAGGAATTTTCTCTTAATCTTCTACAGCAATTTAAAAATAAACTCAATAGTGCTAAACAATCAACCTTAGAAAAGAAATCTGAAGAATTAGTTGAAGATGAAGATTCTTGGTATTTCTATTGTGCTTATTAATACATATTTGAACTTGTTATTTTTCATTAATTTACAATATAAATTTAATTTTAGGAAAAGCTGTAGTTTTCAATGTAAGAAGGAAGACGCTGTACTAGCAAAAGATGCCAATAAGAAAGATGACGATTGGTTTGAAATATATGATCCAAGAAGTACTTTGAATAAAAGAAAACGTGAATTAACTAGAATTGAAAGTAAAACTAATTTAAAAAGTGACAATGATAAAAAAGGATAACTTTTAAACTAATATTTATTTACCTTTTTTTTTTTTTTAAAAAAAAATCTTGAAATAAGTTGTGTTTTAATAAATTGAATATAAAATATCTTTAAAGAGTATGATGTATTGTATACAATAAGATGAGATTATGTAAATACCATCCAAATGTGTGTCCCAGGTTCCTTAAGAAGTTATACATTGGATATAAAATTTAAGGGGATACTTTTCTTCTTTAGTGAAGGCCCTAAATAGACTATAACACATTCTATAGGCCTTTGCTGCTTCTAATATTTCATGTCATTTTTCTTTTACTTTACTCTTCTTTAGTCTAAATCTTAGAGCAAATTTTTTAATTTCTGATTTAACCAGGTTTATCTTCTGCTTAAGTCTTTCCATTTAGTATATCTGTCATTAATTTTTGTATTATACTGTTGGATCTCCATGTATTTCCTGCTTGATCCAAACTTTTGCCTCTTATGAATGACTTGAAATTAGGTTTTAGGTACATTGGGTAAACTTCTCTATTTGTTCTCATTCTGTATTTCCCATTTTGCACGATATATCACAGTATTTTTCTTTATCACTCTTTATAACCAACCATGTTTTGCATCTATGATATTCTGGTCATAGATAGCTTGAGTAAAGGGTTAATTTTGATCTTATAGATAATAACTTGGATTTAATCATTTTCCCAATGTAAAATAATCTTTATTAGCTGCTGAAACCCTTAGATTTAACTAATTTTAACCTCGTGGCCTATAGGCTTAAGTGCCAATACAAAGTCTGCCATTTTTGTTATAACTTCTACACATGAACCACCAATTACCATTATATCATACGCATAGACAAGTAGGTTTTTACTCTCAAGTAATTCTATTTTTTGACAAACTGATATAATTCTCATCATTTTCTTTAGTACTATGTTGAATATAAAGTTGAAGAAAGTGGATCACCTTACCTAAGTCCTATTCCCACTTCAAAACTGATATTCTGTTTCCAGATTTTACTTTATAACGAGAAAAATATAAAACATTAATACTCTTCACACATAGTTTAGTTAAGTCATTTTTTAAAACTACTTCAAGGAATATTTATACCAATTTTGAAGAACATCCTACAATATATTTAGTTGTAACTTTGTGACAAACAGACAAAATGCTTAAGAGTCAAGTTAAAACAAGGCCTCACTTAGTTTGGTCAGTTAATCAATAAATATAAATCTAACTATGTACTTTTTAAATGACTTAAAAACATTAGATAATATTATAGAACCTTAACATAGTGCAAAAGGCAATATATACAATATACATGAGATAACATCTTTATTCTTTATTTGATGTTTGTACTTTGTATATTTTAATTATAATTTTATATTACCTAGGTAGGTACACTTAACAAATATAATCCAGTATTATTATTTATTACACAGATACGGTTAATATCTAGAGTTATCTCATAGTTTAAATAAACAGAAGAAAACAAGATTAAGAAACAATTTATAATGAATACTATGGTGCAGTTTACAAATTAGTTGAGTTAAAGAATAGCTCACCATGGCACGTTGGTCGGGTAGTCAATTATCGGATTGTTCTGAGGATTCTTTTATTAGTAAGTACCTATTAAAATGTGTTAATTTAAGTATCTATTTAAAATTTAACCAAGTATTTAAGTCATTTTCTGTTGTTAAAACATTACATATTATATTTGCCAAGTTCATATAATTTGAATAAACCTATAGGTATAAAAATATCAGAATATAAATTGATATGATAATCTTGCATTTACATTATAAATATTTAAAGTTTATCATATTGCGTAAAGTAAGAAAAATCTTTTATGTATTCCCAAAGTAAATTTAAAGAAATTTTAGATTGTAACATTTAATTATTTAAAACAGTTAATAATATTTTTAATTAAATAAAAATATATAAATGATATTAAAAATGATTTATTCTAAACCCGAACCTGATGTAGAAATGCAAGCAGTCCGCCGAATTGGTAAATACTCTTTGCTAATAGGTATTATTCATTATTTATGTTATACTATTCATATTTTGCATGACTAGTATTAATGATGTAGTATATGTAGGCAGAAAATACACCCATAAACTTATTTTTTTTCCTTGGGTGGACTTTACATCCAGACAAATAATCTGTAGGGTAAAATTATCATTATCATGAAATAATACAAACTGAAATAAATAAAAAATATATTAAAACAAATACCTATACCTAAATTATAACTTACCATAAAATTTATTTTAAATCAATTATTGATAAAATGCAATGAAACCATTAAAAACCTAATTATAAAACATCTTAAGATTCTAGATTTTTTGTATCATTTTGGATCTGGCATGAGACAGTCATTTTTTGATTTTCCTTGCAGCGTTTATAATAATTGAAGAAAAAATGTAGGAAGCACTAGAAAATGTACTGTTTGGTTAAATTTAATTTTCTATTTTTCTTGTAATTAATTGGTTAAAAATAATTGTAGTGATATGAAATTTTCATGGGCGTGGTCAAATTTTCAAAAAATTTTAATAGTTTTACGCTATTAGGGTCATTCAAATTTCACGATACAGTTAAATTTTTAATGAAATACTTATTTTTTTCAAAAAATGATTTATTTTAATACTTTTTAGAACTATACATTCTAAAATGTTACGATTTGCTTATTTTTGTCACCTTTATTTTTAGGGATTAAATGGCTACCTACTTTTGATTTTCCAACGATTTAAATACATTTTTGTGTTGAAATTTGATTTCTGCCAACTTGTTGACTAACCTGTTCCACTCTTAAGGTTTGGTAGAGGAAAGTAGTAGAGTACTATTTAAATGCTGCATGTGGTGTTTCCATTCAAATAATGCTCTACTACTTCTCCTTTGACCCAAACTTATAGATATTACACTGATTTAAGAAACTGAGAGCATGGCATAAAGTAGCATTGCAGTTATAATTATTACTAATATTGACTTATAAATATGTGGGACTTAGGTCCATATACTTATTTTTGTTTAAGAAGATGCTATAACGTTATTTATGTGTAATGTGTTAAATTTGTCTTTTTAATACAAGACATAGCAAAATTACATTACTATATTAGAACATAAATTGTAGCTTTTAGATTGAAATTGAACTTAAACCTCAAGTAATCAAATTTAATTAATTAAAGTTACCTATTTAAAAATACAAAAATTAACATACCAGTAATTAACTTGTTTGTCAATTTTTGTAGAAAAAAGCTACATTCAGAACTCGAAAATATTCCTCTCCTTAAATGTTGATATTTAAGTTTGAACTACAATTTCAACCTAAACTCCACAATTTATGTTCTAAGTATCAAAGAAAAAGCAAATGGATGAATGTGGTCTTTCATAAATAACATACAAAAGATTCTCATCTACATCTTGTTAATTTGTGAAATACTAATTATTTTTTTATTAATTGCCTCTGTCTATCTACTTTTGTCCAACTATTTGCAAATGAGATATTTTTGACCTTTTGACCATAGATACTTATGTCATTTACTTGTATGTTAGATTTAGCAGTAGATATAAACAACTCTTTCTTCAATCTTTCCAAGCCTTTATAACTTAAAATATCCTACCTTACTAACAATAACAATTTTGCACCCGACTAGGAACTTATCCATGGGGGGGTCTATGAAATCTGGATCCCCCACGAAATTTAAGTTTCTTACCAAAAAAACAGTGGCTATATTTATGTGTAAAGTATGTCCGTCCTTTTTTTTGGTTTTATGTAGATAAAAATGTTTTGGTCCATCAAAAATTATCAAAAAAACTGAACAAAAAGTTATTATAGGTTGCACTTTAGTTAGATCCTAATCTATTGTTTAGTAGGATATAAATATATAATATTATTAGATTATTAGGTAGATATTGTATCCATTGAAAGAATATGACAGTCATTGTTGTCCCTGACGTGTTATATACTTCTGGATTACCTCAACTGTGAAAGTAAAACCAGTCTTTGAACCATATGTGAGCTTTTCCACCTTCCACCACATCAATTTTTTTATAGATTCATTACGTTTTAAAAATTATAAAGCTAACATAATTTAGAAATTATAGATCTTCAAAATATATATAGATATTATAAACCTAACTTTAAATAATATTATTATCCATTTAACGTTTTTCCTATAAATAGGCTAAATTTCCAAAATGTATTCTTAGTAAAAATATATTAGTATAGGATTTAGGTTGTGCATTTATCATAATTTTTAAATTGAAATGTTTAATAGACCTATACAGTCATGTAATGAATGGACTGGAAAAGAAACAACTCAGTCTCTGAATATGGTATACTTTTCTTGAAAATTTAACTTAGTTATTTAAGTTGCATTTTTATTGTATGTACATAATAAATTATTTTAAAAAGTCTCTATTAATAGGACATAGAGGTTTTTTTCTACTACTTAGAAAAATAAGATCAAATGTTATAGGTAACTGTAATATCTTACATACCATTATATCAGAATACCTAATAGTAATTATATTTATGAATTATTTGATTTTTATTTTTTTTAAATAAATAATGTTAATTTAATGTATTATACTATATTACAATACAATTATGCATAGATAAATATTTCAATTAACTTGTATTATATGACGTCTTATTGAATGAAAAAAAACCACTTATAATTAATCTGTAATTGTAGAGGTATTTGTTTAGTGTAATAATTATTATCTACTATGAACCTATGTGTTTAAGCATATTTTTTATTTATTATATTTTGTAAATGTCCGAATGCAGTAAATTACACCATTCGCCAATAGAGAGCGTATCATCAGTTGTTTTTATTATAAAACGCCAATGTAGGCTCTAATCAAAATCATAAGTATAATGTGAGTGTAGAACTCACAAACTGAATGTTGTGCGACTGAATTAGTATTCCCGCTGTTTTCGAAACGAAAAGTTTTGTGATCATACAGTTCTTTCAAAATTAGGTACCTACCTACCAATTAAATATACTTGCGTGTTAAAATATAATTTCTGCGTTTTAAATATTACAAGTGTTTAATCGTGAAATTTAAAGTACCTATTTAGGTGCTATAATAATTAAGTGTTGTTTACATAATAGTTTTAAGTGGCATTAAAAATAATAGCTATCTAAGTATAATATTATATTGTGGTTACTCCAAGAAAAATATACTATTATACTATACGATCGTGAGTTCCATTATGATTTTATGCAAAAAAAGAAAAAGTAAGCGCATTATTATTACTACCATAGTATACCTATAGTACCTATGCATATTGTTTTAAAATTTGTATTTTTAATTACGTAAATCTAAGTGTAGGTATTTATTTCTTTATATATATATTCAATATAGGTACCCAATATTATAATACTAATAAACCATACGTACCTAATAGTCTTTATACATGTATTAACAACTACTAAGTACAATTTTATTTCGATCATAGCATATAGATGCCTGCTTATATCTAGTAGTTATTACTTTATTAGTAATATATTGATTAGCAATCAATCCGATCAGCAATATTATTTGGTACTTTCCTCACCTACTTATTATTTTTATAGAAATCGATGTTAGCATTAATGAGACGCGAGTATAAATCTAAGATATTTATAAATAAGAAATAATGAACTATGGGTATAATATTTTATAACATAGAATGAGCGTAGTGAAGATGAGAATAGTTAGATGGACCGGAGTGTCGAGAGAAGATAGGATAAGAAAAAGAGAAGGTACATATGAGCTACCGTTAGCGGTGGCTTCGATAATGAACGAAATGAGAGAAAATTGACTGATATGATGATTTGAACACGTCATGTGAAGAGAGAAATTGGAAGCAGTAAAAATCGTAATGGAAATAAACGTAGTAGGATAGATGGAAAGAGAAAGACCGAAAAAAAAGCGGTTGGATTCAGTAGCGGATTTTCAATATTTTTCTGGGAGGGATCTTGGAAAATAATATGTATGTTAAAGGTATCTATTATTAGATTGATCTTCTTTGGGTGACATTCATGGGAACCAGACCCCCCGGGCCATCCCCCCCCCCAGTAAATCTGGCATTAGTTGGATACAATTGAGAACGATTAGAGGACGGCCGGTGTATGCGAGGATGACGTAGAAGATCAGGTTAAGTAAACGTTTTGGACGAGGGTGATAAACAGTTGGGATGAAAGCGACGGAAGAAAAAGATGAAGAATTTATTTTACATTTGTTTCAAACGTTATATAAATATGCTTGTATGAAACGGCGTGTACAAAACGTTAAAAAAGAACAGCTATTAAGACGTTGAATTTAAATGTCTAACACGATATTAAAACATTTCATAAAATATTATATTAAGTGATGAAATTGGTATAATGTATCTATGGTTTAATTACGTAGGAACTATATAATGTAAACAACTTTGTTTTTTTTCTCGGTTGAATTGGTAATTTTGTGGTAATTTTACCTATACCTACTTATCTAAACATAATAATTATTCCCTGTGTTTGTTTTCTAACTCGAACACCTATAAAGGTTTTGTTTTATTCTAAATTACGTATTCTTGGAATAAAGCCAATCGCATAATATTGTATCCGGGCGTTTAAGGTTTCAAATAAATTTAAAATGCGCATGTTTAAACAATTTATTGTTACGATAAAATAAATAATATTTTTATTTATTTTATTTTTTTCCCCGTAGCATGCGCATATAAATGTTTGTTTAGACGTAATTTTGTTGGCTTATTTTTAAGTCAAGGAACAAAGACGTGTTATTTGTCTCTACCTACGTATATATAAATACTACGGAAGGTCTCGTAAAAAAATGTACCAGTAAAATGGTGAGTGCGAATAGTTCAAATTCTAATAGAATACTCTCCACTGGGTAGATAAATTTTGAATTTCTAAATTGGACATTATCTGTATGTATAATTATTTTCTAAAACGTATTTTTCAAAACTGAATTAAATATATTACCGACCCGTAGAGCTATTTATCATTGTTTTAAAAATGATACAAATATTAGGTACAAACCTATATAATAAATTATTTGATGTTATTATTGAAAATGAATGGGTTACTTTGTTACTGGGTAAGGTATACAGAGGTATCTTACTAAATTACGTAAAACTTAACTGCCGTTTAAAAAACATTATTGAAAGCAACTGGCACGAACATGTAGACATATTAGGTTTAGGTGTGTAGGTACGCTACAAAACAAAATGAAAAATTGGATGTGTGTAGCGTGAAATTGTAATATTTTTAATTTAACAAAGTAGATAATAATAACTATTGAATTCGAAAAAGAAAAAGAAAATTTCTACGTATTAATAATAGAATTAGTTACAATATATTTTTTCTTCAAAATTTACTAAGCTGTACACGAAAATTATCTTTTTCAAAGAAGGTGTCTACTTAGGTACATTATCAGTAGGTACCATTATTATTCGACATTAGTTTATAAAATTGTTACACGAAACTATTTGTTATTCATAGCTATCCATTTGTTCTCTAAGCTGGGAAATAGTTATAATGTTATTTTTTGTAAAATACCTATCTATTTAACGTGTATCTTTTTAATTTCAGCAAGGTACCTAATTAACTACATATATAATAAACTCAATTTTAATTGAGTAATTTACGCAACTTTGATAGTTACCTATAAGTATTATAATAATTAGGATGAGTCATCCTAATATGTAGCAAATGCCTTTCCTCATTTACAGTTGGAATTTAATATCATTTGTGTTTTATTTATTTAGTTTTTTTTTTTTGAGAACAATTTATTCTTTTGCCACGTTTAAAAATAAATTTATACTATGTGATAAATACCATTTTTTCATTCGAAATAGGAACTTTTGAAGAAAATATGAATGAGTACACTTAGTAAAATACACATTTTGAGCCATTTTTCAAAATTTAACTTTTGCGTTCGTGATGCGCACAATAAAACTTACATTTTTTTAAAATAATATAGGTCTTTTTAAGAGGTACACATCTTTTTACCATTCAACTCAAATCGTAGTTACACTTTTTCCAACTATTTAATGAGTAATGACATTTTATTTTGTTTTCAAATAAATTACCTGAGATATAGGCACCTAAGTCAAAACAGTTTTTGTTAAATTTGTACGTAATCTTTGCATTTTAACCCCTATCCTCCATGTAGGTACCCCATCACGGGTTACTGGTGTTCCGCGTATATAGTGAGAAATGTTTTATTTTAAGAAAAAAAAAAAAAATTGAAAAATTTGTTTAGTGCTATAATAAAGACAGGAATTTAAAAAATTTGAATGCGTTGAAAAGATTGTTTAAATGATTTTATATCGAGCAATTTTCGAGGAAGAAAAAAAATGGAAATTAGAAAATTAGAAATTTATGTAAGGTTCATCATCACTATCATCCACTGTATAGTGTATACGCTTAATTTGATCGGTATTAAAATTTTAAATAATAATATATTCCTATGGATAGGAATGCTATGATTTATATTTAATAACTGTTATATTATAGACTTGTATACATACCTTCCTAGTACCTATATTTATATACATTTTTATTATCAGTCAATAATTATTAATTGGTTGCTAACTTTCGAATGAATTTATTGTGTACCTGTTAATTACCTATTTATCTAATAATATATCTTTAACTACACTCGTTATAATATGTATGGTTTTTACATTCAGTCGCAGACTGATTATGATAACTAAAAGTAGTAAACAAAGCACAGTATTGCTAAAATGCATGCCATTTTTTTTTTATAATATATACATATATAAATTTAATCTAACTATATTCGACCTCTTATTAGACATAATATAATCATTAACACTAGTTCACAGTTAAAACATAGGTAGTGTTCGTGGATATGAAATATAATTTCTTTATCAAAAAAATTATGTATAGTATATTATGATAAACATTGATAATATATAAAATAAACAATCAGTATTTATTAAACCTTTAATAATAAACAACTGCTAAAATGCTCGATTGATTAACAGCTAGTACACTTGTGATTTTTATTTGTATTTACCTATTAGATATCAAGATCTTATTTGGGAGGAAGAGGTTAGGGGCTCCAAAAGTATTTATTTATTAACACATGCTAATTAGGTAATTTCGAACTAAAACAATAGAGTCTTAAGAAAAAATATCTGCACTTTGTAATGAGAATCTTAAAAATTTAATTTTTAAAAGTAAGTAGCCTACTTGCACAGAATTAATAGGTACCGTCAATAGTTTCTTTTCAAATTTTTAAATAATGCGATTGATGATTCTTCTCTGCCAAACCTGATTAGTTTTACAGTTAATAATCACACCATTCGTAATAAATAATAATACAATAAATGATGTTTTCTAAAGCTATATGTCTAATCACCCTAATAATATTTTAATTTCTCTTAGTAATTATCTAATAAAATATTATATACACTTGTATTAGACATATTTGTATTTGAACATAGTTCATAAAATAATTAAATAATTATTAATTCCCTGCCCAAAAATTGGGCACTTATTAAAATTTTAAAACACGTTTATTATATTGGATACAATATTATAAAATGCTTTTATAATAATAATAGTTGTTTTTACTTGTATAGATTTAATTCAAAGAATAATTAAATAAAATATTCCATGGTGATAATAATGATAATAATAATCTTAATGTACATAGTTATATAGTTATGTACATCTTAATGTACTTAATGTACTGTTGCCTAATAGGTGTAGAATTCCTTTTTTTTTTTTGTTTCACTCTATTGAATAATTCGCATAACGTTTTAATTTTTCTGAATATCAAGTGAACACTTTATTATGTTCAATGTTAATTAGTCTAGTAGCAAAGGTCCTAAAATAGCCATTGAATTATGATGATACAATAAATGTTGTTTTTAAATCATAATAATAAATGGACTAAAACTAAAGTGTATATTATTTTGGTGGATTTATAAGTTTAATTTTTTATAATTTATTAATACACTCTTCGATGTAAAAATATAAGCTATGGATAAGCTATAGTTTTCTATTCACGTGACATCCGTTTACGTTGTATGTATAAACTATAATTAATATTATGAGGATGTGATACCCGCATCCGCATGACGTACAGCTGTCTCTGTCTTACAAACGCACCTAAAAATTAAAATGCCGAGAAAAAAAACACTATATTCATATATAATCTATGTTCTTATCTTCAATTTTGATAAGGTCGATAAAGCTCTAATATTACAACTAGTAGCGCATAATTGGTCTTGCTGAATGCAGATTTGCTGTATCGTGCGTTTTTAAGAGGGATACATTATCTTAATTATTTTATTGAGTTTTTAAAAACTGCTGTTTTTGATTTCAAGAAAAAATGTAAATTAATAATAATGTAAATTTAATACGATCACAAGTTGTGCGATATAACGTAAATTTATGATAAACGTGATGAATGATAATCTTCTTCGTCGGTAAAAAAAAATTTAATTATTGTATAAAATGTAAATTATCTAACCTTATCAAGGTTTAATCTATAAGCTACAGTCGTATTACCACTATAGCTTAACAATTAATAATATTAATGAATATCCAATACACCAATAAGTATCTATTTGATATTATGATATTTAATTCAAATTCAATTACCTTTTGTTTACTATTCCAAAACATTGAACCTAATCAATTTGATTATTATTATTATCAATGATCATTTTGAAAAAACGAACTGTTTTTTCAGGAAGTTCCAAACGACTAAACTTTTGAATCTATATCTAATATAATAAGTAATATTCGCTTTCTTAAAAAAAAAAAGTTAATAAGTAATATATCTTTGGTTTTATAGGGAAGAAAAAGTCAATTTTTGGCATTTTTTTTTTTATAATTTTATTTATAATGCTATATTTTCTCTTTATTTTGAGTCTAACTTGTCTAATTATATGTGTATGTGTTTTCAAAATTTAATTTATTTGTATTGAAAATCATACATAATTAACTTAAGCTGTTCCTCCCTAGCTGGGACCAAGGATATACAATAAGAATAAGGATTTTTCAAGATCATTTAAACGGACAATTCGTATTGTCTAAAATAGTTTACACTACATATATATATATCTTTAAATTTAAAAACGACAATTGACAAATCGAATATAAAAATGAGAAGATAATATAATATAAAAAAACACCAATTATTTTGTACAATGATATTATAATAACACTTTTTTTAATTACTCATAATATTAAAATATAATAACTGTAACCTATGGAAGTATTCTATCCGTAGGTAATCAAAATAACGTGCGTAATACTCGTATTATATGGGAATTTTAAATATTTATTTATATATCTGTAGACTATAATAGTCATATACAGAGTGGACAGTGAATATTATATATTATTATTATTGTTATTATTTTTTTTTTGTGTTACGAGACACGTATTTTGGAAACATCTCATTATACGGCGGGGGAACTTTTTTTCAGTGAATTATATGTAATTTCTAACTTCTTTTTTATGTAGCATTCTTTGAACGTTAAAGACACATTACCCGTGGTTTATACGCTATTATTACCAACAATAAGTAGATATGTTACAAATAATGTAGTACGTCATATACGGTAATTATCCTACTTGAATTTTAGATCTGCCACTTATTTCCATACGATATAACTGACGTAATTTACGCCATGATACCCCCATGTGCCATTTCCGTCTTACAAACACGCGATACACAGCTACTTAGCGTTCTTCAGCACTGACAGTAGTTTTGTACCAATACGTATTTCCGTATTATCGGAGGTGATGGTAAGAAAATTGACCTGTGTGTTTGACCGTCGGTTTATTTCGATACTTCAATTTTTAAACGGGATATAAGTTTCTTTATTAAATAATTAAAATATATCACATAAGTAATCGCGTATCTTGCTTAAACATTTATATATCGAATAAAAAAACTAGATTATGTAAGTACCTTTAAGTTCGATATTAGGTCGATTCACTCTATAGTTAATATTAAAACAAACAGATAGCACAAAATATTGTCATTTGTAAGACGGAGACGGCACATGTGGGGATCACGTCCGTCCTCTTAAATATGTAATAATAATATTGTCCTATCAGTCCTACGGCAATAATTATTAAATCTGTATTTGTTCGACGTTCGACTTGACCTTTTACTTTTTTTTTTTTATTTCAACCGACAACACAATATTATAATGTCCAGAGATCATAAAAATAATATTTAAGAATAAATGTAAATATTATAACTATTGCACCCGTATAAATACGGGTAATAAATCTGCGTTTAACGACAAAACAAAACGAACGTTTGATGCACCTAGATATTATATTATGTGTACACCGAACACAATATGTAGATAACTGTGGTAGTGTGATATGCATAATATAATATAGTGTAGATAAAATATATTTTTTGAATATATTAAATATTTTATATTTTCATTATCGTATCTTACTATAACGAGCAATTTTTTTGACCGAGATGAATAATTGCGACGTGCGCCTCAAACTACGATCAAACATATTGTCGTCATCAAAACTGCTAAGTTTTTGCTCATCATAATATGTTAAACGAGAACGACGGATTTCGATTAGCGTCCGTTCTTTTGGAGAGGAAAGCGATAAACGCAATTATGATTCCGATTTGAGCTACCGAAATGAAAAGCCGAACTGCTTACAGTTGACCGGCAGAACATGCGTCAGGACATAGATTTAGATGGTTTGGTGCCATTATCTTATGTAGCAATTGCGGTTGTATATGTTACAGTAGATAACTGTGCTAGCAATCCAGACCTCGTCAACAATCCGTATATGTATTCTTTCAGTCAAAGTCTCTGTAATCACAACCAAATTATTGTGTTTTCATCAATAATATAATTATTATTGATCCGCCTTTGATATTATAAAATACATCGAATTTATCACAACATTCATACCTTTACTACTATACCAATTGTATCGTTGAAAATCAATGTATCTAAATGCGGATTTTTCAGCAGTAGTCTGTGGGAAAATTCCAATTTTATGGCATACATTAAAAAAAAAAAAAAAAAAATGCTATTTAGTTTTGAACGATTTCAAGATAACTATTTTTTTGGTAAAATTTTTTAAACAATTAAAAAAAAAAATTGAGTGATAATTGATCAAATTAGAGCAGATAAAGTTTTTAATTTCATGAGAATAATAGTTTTTAGCAAAAACAAAACACAAGTGAGATTATTGAAATAAATTATTATTATTCTCATGAAATCAGAATTTAATCTGCTCAATTTGGTTAATTTTTACTTTATTTTTTTTTTTAAATTAACCTAGTATAAAATTTCATGTGGCCTACCTATAGTACGAAGTAATTATAGCTTTTTAAATTTATTTATTTATTAAGTAAAACTTAAATATGAAATTTTTTTAAAAAAAACAGAACTTTAGTAGGCAGGAGTATATATTATTTTAAAAATTGATTTGCATATTTAAAAATCAATATTAAAAACAATTAAATTAAGAATATAAAAATAATTATCATTATTATTAAGTTTTAATTATTAAAACTTACAAGTATAGAAAATAGGTCAATTAAATAATTGTAATGTATATAATAGGATAAACGTTACTTGTATCAAAATATATTCAATATAGTAAGTAGGCATCATTTTATGTTTACATATGTTGATTAAATTAGTTAATAATGAACTAAAGCATTCAGAAATGTATAAATATTTAAAAAAAATAATGTAATATACTCGTATAACACAAGTATTAATATAATTATTATACAAAGATATTATATAATATGATAAATATTTCAAAGAATTTATATGTTTTTATTATTTTTATTGAGTTTATACACAATAGCTTTGTGGTTTGGTACAAGAATTTTCAATATAAAAAAACAAAAATGGTAAATGAATAAATTAAAAATTGAAAATATAAAATAATTAATTAATTTTCAATCATTTAATGTTAAGTCCATAAGTATTGTAAAACATTTTATCCTATCTAGTTCCTGGATCATCTGTATTCCGTCCAACCGTTTTTTTTTCTCTGGGCCTTCTTCCCTCTGTGGCTTCTATTCCATTGCTGCTTTAACTTTGATTGTTTCCGCCCCCTTTGCATGGTGAATTATATTATAATGGTTTAATAATATAATTATTATTATACATTGTAGTTATTAGTATTTTATTTATTATGATTTGGCTGCAAATTTTTAGTATGCAGTCGTTTTAGTATTAGTACCTATTGATCAAAATGTATGTATGTCGTTAGTATTGAATATTGATGATTAATAAAACTTAGCACTAAGTACCTCTATCTACTCTATTTGCACTCACTGTATTACCTATACAATTTATAAACAAACATTACACCTCTTCCGTACATATATAAATAAATCGCTTTTGTTATTTTAACAAAGAATAATAACAATACAGATATACTTTTATGATGATTTATGTTTAAATTTAGGAGTTACAAAACAATTTAACAGCAAACAAAAATTAATTCAAGGTTAAATAAATATTTTCTCTGTATAATATGCGTAGAGCATGTCAGTATATAGGTATGTGTTTTATGTTTTTATAATTGACAGTAATAGTTATTTTAATTAACGAGTATAATTTATGTACAATAGGTAGATCGTATTTTAAGGGTTAATATTAGCCCTTATTAAGGTTTATTGACCTTTATTCGTTCCATTATTTAGATTAGTTTATTAAATTAACTTTAAACTCGTAGCATCATAAAAAAAATTTACTTGTACTTTGTATAATAATATTACCTATATTGAAAATATATTGTACATTGGCATGCACACAAGCGACTCCAATTATCGGGTACTTATACCATGGCATCTACTTGGGAGCCAGCTTAATCTTTATATTTTAGTTGTTACTATTGTTTAAACTACAACTCATGTTTGCTATTGACAAATAAGATTTTATTTTTTCTAATAAAATATACTTTGGATCATTGGGAGTTCAGACGATATCAATTTAATTTCATCATAGATAAGTAATATAAGATATTTAATGTTTTTATTACCTACAAATTTGAAAGTACTAAAACTTCTTTTTACATGTACATCATGCTGACATTTTTTTTATGTATTATAATATTATAGTGAACACATAAATTTAATAAAACAATTTATTTGATTATGTCCTTTTTGAGATAAGTGTTATGAGATAATAATAGTTATTTTTATGTAATGGTACGCATTATACTGGGTAGGTACCGGTACCTATATAGCTATTGAGCTATTTTCATAAATATCGACATCCAAGCAGGCTGCGATAAAAAAAATCTGCGCATGTCTATGTTTTGTAACAATATTATATTATAAAATATAGTACATAGTACATACTACATACACATATAATTTTTACCAGGTATAATTTATAACTTCCAATTTTTGTCAAACTGCAGCTTTATGGTGTTATTATTATCAGTTTTCCATACTCAATTCATTTTGACCGTGAGTTTATGACTAATAGGTATATAATATATTAATATAAGAACTTGGGGTTAAACTTAATATAGATGCATAATTATTTGTATTGCTAGAGTAACAAATATAATGTTTAAAGTAGTGATTATTAATTACGGTGTTTATCATATTATTATATTATAGTTTTATTACTATTATTATTATTATTTATTGTGTGATAAAAATTTTATCAACAGTTTGGTTACGTGGGTACATTAATTTGATTAATTTACAATCATACAAATGAATTGATAAATGATTATAATATTAGGCGTACTAAAGTAGATACTTTTTATTATTTATTAGGTATCTACTGTAAACAATAAAAATAGGTATACCCATTCAAAATATTATTCAATTAAAAAGTGAAGCACTGTACAAATCTATAATCTTTAATCCTACATATTATTCTGCTAGTAGCCGCAGACCTCGTAATGGACTAGTTCAAATAAACCTGTAGTAGTGCAACGAAAAAAGTGAACTTGTTGTCCGGACCACCCCCTTGGCGCATGTTGTAATGCAATGTAATAGAATATAAATGAACATTGATAGCAGTTATCATCACAGTCAGTAGCGTACTCAGAATTTCTTAATGAGGAGGGGTTAAATATATTAAATTCAATTTATATGATATAATAATTCAGTGTATAATATTGTAAAATGAACAAGGTTTATGAAGGTTCGTTTACAAATGAATTTGAACCAATTAAGTTATCAAAAATAAAAACGAATTAGTTCACGAACTTAACTAAATTGTATGCTTATGAATTAGCATAAGTATTTTATATTTTTATTTTAATTAGCGACTGTTTTCTCTAATTCTTAAAAAAACTACAAGGAAAATTTTAAAAAATAACTGCACAATTCACCAATTATAGACAAAATTTGCTATCAAAAATCATTATATTATATCTACGCTCATAATATATATTATTTATGTACTAAAAAATTATTCACAGATGCAGTAGTTTATTCAGAATTTTGCTAAAGAATATTTTCCAATTTGGAAATTATATCATTTACCTCATAAAACGTGCGTACTAAAAAAAAATTAATTTATATATTTTTGTAAGTAATTTATAATTCAATCTGTCCTATAAATATCATTGATATCATATAACTAGGTATAAGTACCTAATTGTTTTAACTTATTTACTATTTAAGTAGGTAAATCTGTTTTTCTTTATATTAGAGTAGTTTGGATAGATTTCATTTCAAATAAGAAAATGTATACCTATGTTGAAGTTTTTTGATATACATATTAACTGTAATTAACCAACAACCAAAACATTTCTTAGTTTATTTTTTGTCTCAAAATAAGTAGTCTCTCATAATTAATAGTTACTAAAAAAAGGTTAATGGGGAAGATCTCTCTGTAAATACGCCACTGCTTAGATGTATGAGCTTATTCCTAAATGTATTTATTACTGTAACAAAATAACTAAAATAATTAAACAGCTAAGGTCATCGTATATTGTGTGAACAAATTATAATTATATTAATTTGTTTATGTTTGGTGTACAGTATAATATAAATTAATAATATTATAGGTACTTAAGTTAAAAATTTTGCTTTTGCTTGATTAAGATCATTAGATCTAATATTATGCAGAATAAAAAGAGATCTAATATGTATCATAATCTGATCGAATACCTGTGTGATATAACTATGTACGAAATACCTAAAATTAAAATACCTACCCTTGTATAGGTACCAATAAACGTGAATACAATCAGTTGGTATATGTATACAAATATGCAAATACATACATAATTCTAACTAATTATCTAGCATTTTAATTATAAGTAAACTAGTACTTACGTAATCTAATGAAATACTAATAATTATAATTGATAATAACAATAGCTGCAATAGCGTGTCTATGTAGGTATATGATTATAGGTAACAAATTATAGGAGTGCATAGTTTACTATGCAGTAGGTATACACAATATATTGTTGTCTCCTCCCAAAGGTTAAAATGAAGTACGTAGTGAGTAACCTTGACAACAATTATTTGTTTGTTGTTATTTTTCTATTTATACAAATCTATAACTCCATAACTCATCATTAAATGTGTGGTCGGTAAAACGATAGGTATATAATATAAAATAATTCATTCAGGGCCTATTTTTATGTTTTATAGTGTAAATTTTATCTCCAAGTGGTAACTTGTCGCAGAAATATCACCTACCTAAAAACATTCACAAAAACTATGTATTTTAATGGCCAGATTTTTTTTATTAGTCAAATTTCTCTTCTTTTATCTTGCATATCAAAATTTTATAAAAACAATGTTTTTCTTAGTCTGGACCCATTTGTGGGTGACGGAATATTTTGAATGGTCGTCAAAAAATTAAAACGTTAACATATTTTCATGTTAAACTACCTGTATAAAATAGTTATAAACATAATTATTAGGTGATGAAACATTTTTCTTGGCAAAAAAGTATGAATTCATAATTTTGGACTATGGTTAGTCAATTTTATAAATATACTTTAGTGTTTGACTATATCGAAACGATTAAATTTAATAAGTTGCAGTTGATCCGAATTTGTTTTGGTATCAATTATCAATATTGTCAACTTCATAAGGTAACCATTACTCATTTAGTCGTATATATTACTGTGAAAATAAATGAAAGGTATAATAGTTTCTTTTAGTTATGGTAGGTAATTGAACAATTAAGTAGATTGGGTAGGGTGGGGAGCTCCCATTGAGAATTATTTTAGACAATGTCCCGTGAAAAATTGGGTAAATATCTTGGCTCGCCAATAAAACCCCTATTATAAAGCTCTGTGCAAAATATCAAGTTTTGAGACCTGCAATCGTTCTTAAGATAATGTTCAGTCGGTGAGTAAGTGGTATTTGGCGATTTCTATAGGTATACCTATAATAGGGGAAAATAATGCTAACGTTTAGCGATTAAAAAAAGGTAAACTTACCGATAATAATACTTATTATATGATAATATTTTGAATTACATACGTCAAAGTGTGCTAATATGTATTATCGTAGATTGGTGTAATAATAGTAGAAATAATATAGTAATATCTATTAGTGAAATAATTTTTATAGGGCACTTACATGTATAGATAGTATACATAGGTTATTAGGTTATTATAATAGGCTATTATTACATTTTTACGCATTTTGAATGTTCTTATTATTTTCAATACATTTGAAAAATCAACACTAAATTTTTTAATGAACTTTGCATAATTTGTATTCAAAATTAATGGTTTATCATTGCTATTAAATTTAACATTAAAATTAGTATAATACGCTCAGTAAATATTGATAGTAAAAACACAATGCTGTTGTTTTACTTAGATTTTTAGAACACCTCATTATGTTTGGAAAATTTACTTTAAATGAAGTTCATTAAAATAAATAATAACATAATATAATAAATCTAATATTACTTTATTCGTATTTTATAATAAATTTATATTTTTTTAGGTGGTGTTTACTATAAAAAAGAAGCACCAAGTAATCTTAAAGGGCCAATTAAAGCTGCAAGACTTTGTATTTTAAGTTTACTTATACCGGGAATTTTGGTTATAGCACCTCTATACATCCGTTATCATGTTTATCCTGATCATAAGTATCCTTTAGCTATCACCGATATGAGAATATTGGACCAAAAAATGTCAACGTTTTGGTGCCAAGTAAGTGATGCATTTTTACTAGATAAATATTAGTAATAAATACCTTTAGATCATTCGAAAATGAAACTGATAGGACGAAAATTAAACACTTATGGCCTAATAGGTACATCTATCTAATTTTAATACGTATTTTTTTTTTCATTAGTAATTTTGAAAAAGACTTATCGAAAAATTGCAGTTTAATCAGTAAGACCAGTGTATTTTTTTCAAATTTGCTATACCAAACTCCACTTAAATTCATTTTTAATTCTACCTAGCATATTAATTCATCATTATCCTTCATTTTAAAATAATACAAATGGATACCACTAATGAAACTGATACAAGATAAAATATATTCATATTCAGTCTCAGCTAGAATCTATATTTTTTTCAACTATAATTATTTTTTTAGCGTCACATTGTCAATACCAATGCCACTTTTAATGCGTTTCTAATGCCAGAAAAACCATCCATGTTACCAAGAATGGAATATGTTGAAATGGAAAGGCATATAACGTTAGAGGATGACATTAAAGAGTATTGGGGTTTTTATCTACTGAAAGATTCATTTGTAAAAATAACTACATGTTCAAGGTAAAAATTAATCAAATTGTATTAAATTTTTAATAATTAAAAAAAATTCTATGACATTGTTAAAAATGAAAAAAATTTAAAAAATGTATACCTACTTACAAACGTATTTTATTATTTCAACAGGTGGCCAGGAGCTAGTTTAATAGTGATCAGAGGACATAAACATTTAAAAGAATGTGCTTATATAGGAGATAATTCTAGTGAAGAACTTGAAGAAGAAGAATCGTCTGAAGAAGGGAATGACACCCATATTCCAAATTTCATGAGAAAACTTACTTCTGGTATGACTGTACCTGATATGGCACCAGATGTAGTCTATCTTACAAATCACCCGAATGAACATAATTTGAATCAAATATTTTTTAAGAAGTCTAGTAAAACTACTAATCATCATTTAGATTACGCTGAAGATTTATATAAAAAAGAATTGAAAAACAGACTTGAAAACGAAGATGAGCAAGTAGCTCCAGTAAAGAAATCTAAACCGAATAGCGAACTAATAAATCATATACCTCAATCAAAAGAATTAATTTCAGAATATTTAAGAAAATTGGGGAACCAAGGAAAAGACGGCGCAACGCTTTTACGTAAATTAAAAGAAGTTGTTAAAAACGATATGAATAATTCAATGAACGACACAGCTGAATCTTCAAATCGGCTGTATAAAATTGTTGCAACTGCAATGGCTGACGATGATGCGTCATGGCGTGGTCCTAGATTAAGGCACTTAAGAAATAGATTTCAACGATCCCCTACAGATAACAACGAAGATCACGAAAACTTGAGCCGTAATTTATTTAAACACGATCAACAGAACGACGCAGCTATTGAAGAGGTATATTAATTAATTAAGTGATCAATTTAACATTTATAATAATCTGTCATCTTAGAAAACGAACGTATCCGATTAAATAATATTAATGCAAGTGTAAGTGCATGTTGATTTACGTCATAATAAATTAAATCGTTATCAATATGTGCAATAGAAGTAGGCTTACGCTTCAATATAAAATATATTATTGCATAAGTTCCCGAATTAAAATTTAGACTTTTAAGTTCTTACCTTTTAGACTTTTAAAATTCACCCATAATAATATGTAAGTACCCAGGCGTAAATGTGTACACATTATAATATTTATACTAATAAATAATGTGTAAAAACTGTTATTTACTCATATGTAGAAAGTTCGATTTGTGACATAAAAGGTATATTATTTTTTTTTACTAGTAATACTATAATTATCTACGTGATTATAACTTAATGCACTAACATTTTATAATGGTGTGTATAATTTATACTCTATATAACATAGTTTTGGAGTAGGTATTAAAATAAATAGATTGTTACGTTATAAAATAATAATTATACTTAAAGTCTAGTAAATTTAATATTAATAAAACATATTTCTGTAGGCTGATGCACTGTCACCAGATGGAATTGCACAAGTTCGTGGTAAAGTAACCGATAACAATACACATGATATGTTAAAAGACCGCAGCCATAGCGAATTTTGGTCGTCATTTTCTAGTAGCGAAGAAATGCTTCTCGAATGCGAAGGACTTTTATTAAGCCTGCCGTTGGCTCCACACCATAAATGTCTACCACCAAATAAACAACCAGATTATGAAGCAGCCAGCCATCTAAATACTGTTAATTACAAGTATGTTTTATTTATTTTATACAATTACAATACTTCTAGTATAACAAGACTATTTTTGTCTATACTTTATAATTAAATACGCTAGCCATAAGTTTAAATTCACGCTGATGTGAATTTTTATGCGCCGTTTTAGTTGCCTATTTTAGATCATATATTTATTTTTATGGTGATACAAACAAATATGTATTGATAAAGAGCACGGGTTATTTTATTTATATACCTAGGTACCTAACCGTATTTGAATGTACCTTAGAGCTTAAATCATATACTACTAAATGGAGCTATGTTGGCCGTACGCTATGTCCAAAATAATCCCCCACTCACTGAAATAATTTCCGGGGTTACATGTATAGTGGGCATACGGAAACGTCGGAAACTAGCAAGGCAACCAGAAAAATGACGAAAAATATTAAATAACTTAGTGATGGGATGACAGCCGTGACATCTATAGTAGGTGCCTAGGTACACGTGTCACCGGATAGTATAATAAAATTAGGGTTTATATTGGAGATTGGACACAGACACACAGGTAAGTCGGGACTCGGGAGTATAACATGCGTTGCTCCATTCATAGTAGTTACATGATTTAATGCAATGTCTGTACTCTATTATTCACTCGTTTCTTTATCTGTATTATCTTCAACCGTTTATATTTTTTATAATTCTAGGATTCCGAGTGATGGATACTATTTTTTCGTTTTCAACAGCGAGAATGAAATTCAAGATAATTTTATTCGTATACACTTTGGCATTAACAAAACAGTTTACGATGTCTCAAAACCAGTTTCGTCTTGTTTAAATACCACTGGAGAATGTCAACTCCCATTGAATTTTTGGTCAGGTCAAACAACCGTTTTAGAAATGTTAAGGCCAGGACCTTCAAGTGACTCGGAAGATGAATTTATAGCTATTTCTACTTGTCAGCCCAGATCTGCAGTGTATGCCGTTTGTCTGATAGCAGCACCTATTCTATTTGTTTTATTTTCTTTCCACTGATCTATACCGAAATTGACTAGACTATATAAAATTATGTCCATGCGGATTGAATATAACTGTCTAAATTTAAAAACTTACACATTAAAAAAACAAAAACCAAGATTATAAATTAACAAATAAAAACACTAAGTGATGGTGACCCTTTTGGTAAGGAATCTGACAAATATTAAATATTACCTAACATAATAATTCGTGAAATAATTTTGATAAAATCTATATTTTGAAGTAGAAAAATGATCATCAAAATAATTGAAAAGGTATAGTTAATAACATAACACAATCTATCGATTTATAAAATTGTGTCTATAATATATACACAGTGGTTCCCAACCTATGATTCATAGACCACTGAAAGTCCGCGAGACGGTATGCGGTGGCGGTCTGCGAGGCCATACTTACAAAATTGAAAACAAATATTGAACGTAAAATGATAGTGGTGCTTGAAGTTTATTGTGTCGTTCATTTATACACATATCGTACATAATTTCACTCTCATGTTATTATTATCTATTACAAAATAAAATACAAACGCAAAATAATAAGTAAAAAAAAAATCATCAACAAATCGAGGTGGTAATATATATAACATAACTAGCGTTCTTTAAGTGATTCGTAGTGTCAAAAAGGTTAGGAACCACTTGTGCATACAAGATTATAATATAAAAAAACTCGATCGATTTTATAAATTATAATAATAACATCAATGAGTATAAACAAATAAAGAATATTGATTTAAGTAAATGAAATCAACTCTTATTGGATACCATCGTAGAAAAATAAAGATTATGTGTATTTTATAATATACTATTAGATATATACACTTAAGGTGCCTCCTTCACAGCTCACCGCGAAACGTGATAATTTACAATTTGTTCGCCATGATTGATACAATTTAAAATAGTTGAACCATTAATGTTAAACCGTGGTGAATACACAGTCCAACTAGGATTGAACTCAACCATCCGGTATGAGCGGTTTAGGGAAGGTATTAACATCAAAAATGATGATTGACCACTACATAATGTTAACCACTGGTTAACCACTACATAATAACCACATGGTTCAACCAATCACAGTTCTAGAATATTTCATGTTTCACGGTAAACTGTGAAGGCACCTATACAACCAATATTGGCAATATTGTCGTATACGAAATGGCTTACTGATTTAAGTACATTGCGAAATTTAAATAATACAATAGATAATGTGATTCTTTAAACTGTAACATTGTGATAAGATGAAAAATTATAAAATGACATACCTAATGTGGCATTGTTAAGTTTAATAGGCTTATAATATAGATGAATCAAATTATATTAATCTGGATTTAAACAAATATTATACAGCATTAATTGAATTTATTTTATCTCTAATATGTAAGTTTTTAATTTTCATTGAGATGCAAAACATAATATTTTATTTTAAATGTAATTTTCAAAACTTTAATGAGACTGAAAACGAGTGTTTAAATATTAATATTTATCTGTGATCAATAAAAACTAGTTGTTTTGTTAACTGTCTTTAAGGAGTAAATGTATAACTACATTATATTTGTGTATATTAGTTTTAGTTATTGGCAATATTAAAGATAGTTAAAAAATCGAGAATTTATTTTTAATTTAAGGTTTTTTGTTTGTTTTTAAAAAATATTATTAATACAGGAAGTAGTATAAATTGTATTTGCACTTGTTAAAACAAAAATTGTGCATTATTAAAAATGTATTAATTTCAAATTTACTTTATAAAATTAAATAATTTAATTTTCGGTAAAATATATTAAATTGTACTAAAATATGTAGATTATAATATCTTATTAGAAAATAAAAACGGGTCCAATAATAAATAATGAGCATAACGATAATACAATATAGCCAATAAAATATACACACTATTATGTATGTATTTTTTTATATAGTTTTTTATATAAAATCTATAATAAAATAAACTAAAATGGATAGATACAATTTCTGCACTTAATTTGTTTAAATGTAGGTATAGTAATTTATTTGAAGTAGAGTCATTTAATAAATGCAATATCCACAGATAGTCAATCATAATATTATTAAAAATAAATTTCATATGAAATAAAATCAAATAAATTGAATAATTTTTAATTGAGCTGGTGTACTGCTATTATTTATATCATCATTTTACCTATTTTGTAACTAATTGATAAATATTTTCACTATTGTACATTATTTAAACCTCCTTTCATGAGCTATTAATTATATCATATTTATAGTTATACTTTTATACTAATATTTTTTTATATATTATATATTGTAGTTTATTATGTATTACTAAATGTGTGTATTCTTATTATGCATTGTTATTATTATTATACAATAATATTTATACTAGGTAATATTATTATCATGAATTAAATAATAAATAAAACATAATTATTATATTTAATCTATGCTATTATGTACCTATACAAGATATTAAAAAAAAAATTGTATTTAAAATAATAAAATTGATTATTAAATATTTATTTGTTTACCTACTTAAATTGTATACTTTATTTTTTTTATACCATTATTTTACAATATTATATAGGTACGAATAATTTTCCTATTAGTCCTTTCAATGTACAAACCATCAGATAAAAATAACCAGAAAATTAAAGAAAATATCTAACAATATGGATATGGAATATACAGTGTTGGGCATTCTTTTTAAAATAAAGGAACGATGAACGTGATAGTGTTCCTATTTATGAGAAACGTGAATCCAAATCTTCGTTCTTTTTTTGGTTCTGTGCGTAACGAGCAATGTAATGGTTTTACTATGATGCATACTTTTTATTTCTTCTGTCAAGATTTTTGACTTATCTATAGGTATTTGCAATTTTCGAGTTTTTTTAGTTTTTATTTGGCAGGTATTATATGAATAGAATTATTTAACCAAACAGAAATAATTAAACATTTCACATGAAGTTTATAATAAGTTGTACTTGGTAGTAAAAAAAAAGTTGAACCTAATGTGTAGTTTTTTGATAAGTGTTTTAAGATCAAATGTTGATACGGTAAAAATTACGGCATCTCAAAACAGTGTTAACTCATGTTAAACAGAACTACACTCAAAATTGTTTTTCTCCGTGCCTTCCCCCCACTGGTTCGAATTGTTTACAATTAAGTTATACGTGTAAGTACCTATTACAGGATGGAAGTGATTACGTCTTTTTTTGATGCCAACTATTTGGGCTAGGCCACCCTACTGAAAATTAAATATACTCCCTCGCTGTATTTGGGGAATTAAAAAATAAATAAATATTTATTTTTAAATAGATATATCTATTTTAAATTAGATCCAGCAGAAATTTCTTTACGAAACAACTGGTGTTTCATAAATTTAAATCTTAATTCAAATTGTATACGAAAATTAAAAACTCGATAACCAATTGCAAGGTTTGGTATGCAAACACATATTACAATATTACAATATAACTTATATGAGGATTAAAAAAAAATTATTTGGCAGTAAGTAAAAATGTATTTAATCAACAAATAATAATAGCGATAATACAATGATAAAAAGCAGTACTAGAATAATGGAGAGGGATGCAGCCACTGTTGTAGGTAATTTAATGTATATCTGTAAGCAACGATAAACCACTGCTAACGAAAAACAAATTCTGAGCGGAATTCAATTGATAGTGATACTTTTTCAACAAAATGTATGTAATATTATGGTAAAATAATTAAATATTCATTGTATATTTTCTTCAAAAACAAAAATCTGTTTAATTTTGTACCGATTTTCTCATTTTTCTACGTTTTTTTCGGTTTTTCATATTTGATGAGAAAATTGAAAAATTACTTCGCTAAACCTTACCTTCCCTGTCAGATTTCTTTTCAAAAATATCGAAGAAACTATTGACAAAATTAAAAAATGATTTCCCTACTTTTAGAAAAGGTCCTACACTTACAAATCGGAGCAAGCTTTCTGGTAGAAAAGTTGCGTACAGATAAAAAAAATTAACATTTTTGTGAAACCATAAGCTTCTTCGTTCCACTCAGAATCTAAAAGTAGGTATGCTATAGTGATTAATCCGTTTTAAATGACTTTTTATGGCTTAAATATGTACCTATATTGTTAATAATGATTAATTGATGAGGTGTTTTCGTTATCTAAATTTGTTAAATTAGTTTAAAAAACTGATACTACTGATGGGTGTGGTACTGTTGTGGGTGGAAAGTTGGAAAGATAGAATATTTACGTAAAGTTAGGTAGATTCTGAGTGGAGCGAGGAATGTCTTGGTTTTACAATGATGTTTATTGTTATTTTTTTTATATTTTTTTTTCATGTGAACACTTTTACTACCAGAAAACATACTACGATTATTAAGTGTAGCACCTTTTCTAAGAAATAATCTCTGGGTGGTACTTTAAAGATATCATTTTTTTTAAATTCTCATTAATATTTGAGATAATGAGGAAAAATTGGTTCTTTAAGTTAGACAAGATTAAAAATGAGTTTGTCATTGATGATCGTTTTTATTTATTTTTTGTTATTATTAAGTTTTTATTATTTTAAATCCTTTTTAAATAATCATTGTTGTAATGGAAACACACATTGTTTTAATCATTTTACCATGATATGACATATTATATATTGTTGAGAAATCAACACTATCAACTGAACTCCACTCAGAATCGTTTTTTTTTTTTTGGTTAGCAATGACTTATTGTTGCTTACAGATATACATTAAATTTCCGTCTGTATCCTACCTTCGCAACTTTCTACCTACAAAAATGGCTGCACCTATGTGTGAAGTATGTCCATCCTTTTTTGTTGTAATTCAGTTAAATTTGGACATAAAACTTGTATTGATTTATATTACATTAAATTATATTTGTCTTTTTTTCTAGACGTAGTAAATTTTAGTCATTTTTGAGCTGTTTATAGACATTTTGCGATTTTTTTTACGTAACTTTTATTCGGTTTGCAATAGAAATGATTGAAAATTTAACAGATAGTTCATTAAAAGTCGTAC